CAGCAGCAGTAGTAGTTGTTGTTGTTGTTATCAGTTTCATCATCTCCTTGTGAAATGCATTTTTTCTCTATTTTGAAGCCCCACCCTGGCTCTTGCCAGGGGCCGCAGTAAAGCCCGACTATAAATATGGTCTAATGGCTGAAAGCGGTTTCTGGGACCTCTCCATGGGTGATCCTCATCCACATAGTGGCACTCTGTGTCATCGTGTGTTTATCGCTGGTGTGATGTCCTGGTGGGGTGAAAATCTACTACTGGTAGTAGTAGTAGTAGTAGTAGTAGTAGTAGTAGTAGTAGTAGTAGTAGTAGTAGTAGTAGTAGTAGTAGTAGTAGTAGTAGTAGTAGTAGTAGTAGTAGTAGTTGTTGTTGTTGTTGTTGTAGTAGTGTAGTAGTAGTAGTAGTAGTAGTAGTAGTAGTAGTAGTAGTAGTAGTAGTAGTAGTAGTAGTAGTAGTAGTAGTAGTAGTAGTAGTAGTAGTAGTAGTAGTAGTAGTAGTAGTAGTAGTAGTAGTAGTAGTAGTAGTAGTAGTAGTAGTAGTAGTAGTAGTAGTAGTAGTAGTAGTAGTAGTAGAAGAAGAAGAAGAAGAAGAAATAACAGAAAAAAAAAAAAGAAGAAGTAGCAATAGTAGTAGCAGTAGCAGCAGCAGCAGCACTAATAGTTGTTAGAGTATTGATGGTGGTGATTGTAGCGACAGCAGCAGCAGTAAAAGTAGTAGTAGTAGCAGCAGCAGCAGTAGAAGTAGTAGTAGTAGTCGCAGCAGCAGCAGCAGTAGAAGTAGTATGGTGGTGGTGGTTGTAGCAACAGCAGTAGCAATGGCAGTAATAAAGCTTCACTTATTAAAGAACATGTTCAACTGTTCAGTATTTCAGAAACTACGCACAGACACATATATCAGATGACCCGCACCTCTTTGGTGTGTCAGCGAAAGCCTACAAATATTTATTGATGAAAACACAAAACCAGGTACGTTAACTGCATGTGAGTCCTTAGTGTCATTCACGCAGCCTACAATGGGTAGCAGATCTTCTTCTTCTTCTTCTTCTTCTTCTTCTTCTTCTTCTTCTTCTTCTTCTTCTTCTTCTTCTTCTTCTTCTTCTTCTTCTTCTTCTTCTTCTTCTTCTTCTTTTTCTTCTTCTTCTTCTTCTTCTTCTTCTTCTTCTTCTTCTTCTTCTTCTTCTTCTTCTTCTTCTTCTTCTTCTTCTTCTTCTTCTTCTTCTTCTTCTTCTTCTTCTTCTTTTTCTTCTTCCCCACTCTTTCTTCACGAACTGCTGAAAAATGTGTCAAACACAGAGCACGTGCTCTGTAGCTCCGGCGACGAGCTTGTGGGAGAGCGTGTGCAGTTCGGAGGAGCAGATGGATCGCCACAGTCTGGTAAGACTGATGCAGCGGGGAGTGACGAGAGGTTCCGGCAGATGCTCGAGGCTCAGAGGAAAGGCAAGATGGACGTTTAATCAGAATGCTACTGGCACTATTAGTATCGGAACTCTTCACTGTCTGCTGAGGATGGGGACGGGGCGCTTATGGGAATGCCCCGAGTGCTGTGATGTCGGTTATTGAATCAACTTTATTTAACTCTGCTTCTTCTTCTTCTTCTTCTTCTTCTTCTTCTTCTTCTTCTTCTTCTTATTATTATTATTATTATTATTATTATTATTATTATTATTATTATTATTATTATTATTATTATTATTATTATTATTATTATTATTATTATTATTATTATTATTATTATTTTTATGAAGTCAGGTATGGTCACACGAAGGTTTTGAGCGATGTAGACCTTGCAGAGATGGCCGACTGTTTTAACCAGAGCATTAAGACAGCATGAGTACCGCAAGACTGAGTGCACAGCTATCTAATCCCACTACCAAAACCTTTTAAAGATCATTCTAAGCTCAGTGGCTTTAGAAACATCACCTTACAAAACATATTTGGGAAGGTCTTGGAGAAGATAGTTGCTGTAAAGCTGCAAGAATTTTTGGAAAGGGGAAGCTTCTCCCGAGAGATCTGGGAAGCTACAGGCCAGGAAAGGACACATGGGCAAATGCGGCCACTTTTGCTTTTGACGTCTATGAAGGGTTCCAAAACAGACAGGAAACTATGGCTGTAGGACTGAATCTCGATGATGCTTGTAACAGAGTGAGATATGACATCTTAATGACTGCACTGAAGAAGGTCAGTCCATGGCTGGTGAATTGGGTTGCAGCTGTCCTGTATTCACGTCGGGTTGCTCTCCGACTAGGATCATGGACCTCAGAACCATGCAGTTTGGCCCCAGGACTGCCACAGGGATCCGCCATCTCGCCTGTGCTCTTTGACGTGTATACGAGCAAGATTGCAAGCCTAGAAGCACCAGGAGTTGGAAGGATACTGATTTTTGCGTATGATATACTTGCATATAGGCAGGGGGAAAAGAGGGAACAATTAGACCGGGCGCTACAAGCGACAGTAGACAAAGTGACCGAGTGGTGTACAGCAATAAGGGCTGTCATCCACCCGGATAAGGCGTCTGTTTTGTGGTGTTCTCTGGACAACAGAATCGTTAAAGCTAATGTCGCGTCTCACGATAGATGGTAGAAACGTCAACAAAGAGAGCAAACTGAAGTATCTGGGAATTACATTTGACAGGAGACTGTCATGTAAGGACCATGTGGAGAATGTTGTGACGAGATGCCAAAAAGGACTTAGTGCACATAAGACTATGGCTGCAATTGACATAGAGCAAAGAATGCTTTTCACACTATATCAGCACCTGATCCTGTCAGTGGTTGATTATGGCCTGGAACTGCTTACCGTCTCAAAGAGTCAGATGAACAAACTAGAGCGCATTCAGAACGCGGCTATGCGGGTCATTCTGGGTTGCACCAGAGACACCCCAGTGGTGTGTATGCGATACATCCTTGGTTGTATTATTTGACTTCGAAGGAAACCCTTAATTAGCAGACAAAATGCTAGCTGGTGGGTTTATTGTATTGTTTTCCACCCACAATTGAGTCCCGAAACCCATATCCCCCCCCCCCCCCCGCTCCCCGCTACACATAAAGGTCCAGAAACCCAGATTTTCCCCCACAATGAAATTCCGAAACCCGAAACCCAGTATCCCCCCCCCCCCCCAAACAATGGATTCCCGAAACCCAGAGGGGGAGACTGTCTTAAAAAACTGTGAGTCTATCAGCATATGCTCGAGGGACCACTGGCGTGAGAGTGTCCTTGACATTACTTACATTCTAGTACTTTGTAGTAAAGTATGCGACCATTTCCTAAGGCCTGGAGACGAATTGCCTAGATCAGTGCTAGTCCTACACCGGGGCGTAGACACACAGAAAAAAATGCAGAGGGGTAGGGCAGGGCTATCTAAACGCATGCCCCCCCCCCCCTCTCAGCACTACCCAGTTACTTGCCATAAATAAAAATTACATGTATGTAAGTGGTGGTGGTAGGGGCCCGGCACACTGGTTTGTCCAGGGGCCTGTAATGCGACGGCTCTGTGGTATATCACCTTTTTCTCAGGGTGCTCAGTCCATGCAGGAAAGTTAATTAATGCGGATTTCATAATGATAAAAGCAATGCAAAATATGAATACCCACAAAGTGTTGGCGCTCTATGCTGCTTGACATGTTGCACACACCTATACATGACCCTGTTATCCGTTGTGTAGTATTTTAACACGCAGACAGACTGGCTGGCTCTGCACTACTTACTGGATTTTGAAAATATGCATGAAAAAGTAGATGAGGTCGAGGCATTTTGAAGGCACGTGAACAAGGCGGGAAGGTGAACCAAGTTCTAGAAATGATTGAATAAACGAGCGGCGTGACCTAAAGATGTATAGTGCGTTAGTAAAGTCTCACTACACTGTGTATGCAGAACAAATTTAAACAAATTAAAAGATGTGCTTAAAAAAATCGGCTATCCTCCGAATTACGGTCCCAAAATATCGAGGCCGAAAATATACCCTAACGGGGCCTCAGTCACATGTCAATTGCGCACTTCCGGCAACTTAAATTGCGCACTTCTGGCGACTTCCGTCACCACCGAGGGTATCTCGAACGCCGCTCACGCGGCGTGGATTGGGGCTAAACTAAATGGCTGGGACTCACGAGCAGCAGCTACCGCATCTCATGCAGCTTCCTTCATTTTATTTGCTTGTGAATCCTAGCCATCTAGTTTAGCCTCAATCCACTGGACTGCAGATTACTTCACAATCGTAGGAGTGTCCTAAAATAACTGTTAAACGGTTGAAGGGGTTTTCTGGGATTTACTCCTGATTAATTCTCATCTTTGAGATGTTAAACCTACGGAAATCAATCATGGAGAGGTGCAATGACCATTACCATGTTTTGGCTGACAATCAATGCCCAAAGGAGAGGGGAAACGACAATATTATTAGATAGAACTGGTAAAAAGTAAAGGAACGTTTTCTACACTTTCCTACGCTAGATTTATATTCTAGAGACGCCAGGACAATATCGTTTTCATGAAGGCCTAGGCCGTACTCAAAAAAATGTCATTGTTTCAAACAACGTTGAGTATCGACGGGACGGTCTGGGCCCAGATAAAAAAAAACTTTCCCGTCCCGACGGTCATCCTAGACCAGCGGTTCTCAACTTGCCGGTCGCGATCTTTTTTTTTTGGGGGGGGGGGGGGGGGGGGGGGGGGGGGGGGGGGGGGGGGGGGGGTCGAACGACTCTTTCACAGGGTCGCCTAAGACCATCGGAAAACACATATTCATTGAAGTTATGAAGGAAAATAATTGTTTGGGTTTCGCTACAACTTGAGGGGAACCGTATTAAAGGGATCGCGGCATTAGGAAAGTTGAGAGCCACTGCCCCAGACCAACAGGCACTTGGTGAGTGATGTGGTCAACATTACGCCGGCCGCCTTTACTTCCTAGGACTTCACCCGGTACCCATTTAATGCTGGATCAATCTGGGAGCCAAAGTCTGGTTCCGTTGTGATTCTAATGGCATCTGGCATAACAGTTATTATTCTGTGCTGTTTCAGGTCATTTTGGTCAGCGGGGAATCGGGCGCTGGTAAAACAGAGGCTACCAAACTACTAGTCCATCACCTGATGTCGGTAGCTGGGTGTGAGTTCAAGACATTGCAAGATATCATAATTAAGGTATGATATTATTAAACAAATAGACAATGTATTGATTAGCACTCATAGAAAGGAGTAGAAAGATAGAAAGGATACACTAGTTAAAGTTAGTTCCGGCATTACGAAGAGCGTTCCCCACGCCTTAGCCACAGACGCCGACTAGACAACATACAAATCGAAAGCTATGGGAATCGAACCTCTCATCTCCAGATGGCCTGTCCGCCTCGCTATGGAAACAAGTGCGCAAAGAACTTTTCAACTAGGCACTCCAAAATAAAGGTGTCTTCATTGGCCATATCTATCGTACAACTTCTAATCCACAACTATGGAATACGGACAGAATTTATTTGAAACCATTGAAATGGCGCCATGGCACCATTTATTTATTTATGTACATTAAGGTATGACACTTGTTTCAGCTGCAGGGAATCCAGTCTGCATGCTTAGATAGGCAGGTGCTTTGCTGGGAAAAATATCCGCATGTACAACCAGCATCCCCGAAGGGAGCTTCTGGTTATAATTGTGACTAGCTTATGTGCACCATATAAAATGGCTTAGCATTGCACGCTACCAAGAGCCCTAAAAAAGGACTCCTGCAATGTTGATATAATCAAAGGAGACAGACCCACATACTGTCCCGACCGACAACGAAGTCGTCTACCGGCTAGCCAATGGGCGACCCGGTCGCCGATGATGTCTGCCTGTATGTCAAAGGCTCTTGGTATCGTCAGCTCAGACGCATTTCTAGATACAGATGAGAGGTAAAGTCGCGCCCTGATTCATCATTATCATCATCATCATCATCACCCTGTAACACTACGTGTCGTTGGGTCACCAGTTTCTGTTGACTTTCTGATCAGATCTCTCCACCTTTGGGGATCAATTGCGATGGACTTCATGGTTGCATGACCTGAGGCCTGTCCAGTTAGTCAGGTTCTGAAACCAGGTCTTTCTTGGTCTGCCTCTTCTCCTCTTTCCCTCTACTGAGCCCTGCAGTATTGTTTTTGAGAGACCGTTAGATCTTATTACATGTCCATACCATTGCAGTTTCGCCTTTTCCCTGTAGTTAAAAGAGGTTAATAAAAAGGTGCATTCTTCTTCCTAGCGTTCGCAAAACAAGAATCGTCGTAGTCCCTAAGCGATGACCTTGTGGATCTTTGAAACAACTATAGTCATAAACCAAAACATCGAGTCAAAATTACTCTCAGATTATTTACTGGAGTGATCTGTGGTATGAAGTAACTTGTCTAATGTGTGGGGTGTGAGGTTATAAATAAATATGCTAGCCACACGTACTGATTTAAATTTTCTTCGTAAATCCCAACCATCCTATCTTCCTATCGAAACGGACGAGGGATGGGATGGGTGTCTGGTTTCGTAGGTAGATATTTGTACTATGTATTTAGCTTCTCTGAAATCCCAACAGATCTTTATCTTTTGGGTGGTTAATCCCATACTGGACGTCAGCTATTAAAACTTTATGTTGCACGCATTATCATCATTCCAGTTTAACTCATTCCTTTGAAGATTTCGATAATGCGAAAACTATTCTTAACGGAAATGAGATGTATAGGAAATGCGGCAGGAAAACATTGAATAAAGCCACTAATCATCATCATCATCATCAAGTGCCTTGCCGACTGCATGTATCAGTTGCACATCGCAGAATGTGGAGAGGCATGATCGCCCACGCCAGTCGGCAAGGCACTCGATGATGCTGATTAGTTTTAAAGCCATGATTTACTAGGAAAATACACGGTTTTCCCTTGACTTCCGCCGGTTTGTTTATGGTTCACTCCATTACCCTGTTATCTAGAGACACACCCTACAAGGCAGCGGGGGGGGGTGGGGGGGGTTATAATGGCGCCTCTTACACGCCGATGGCCATGTCATGGAGTTTTGAGGTATTTTATAGATCTAGCAAACCCACCGCAGGCTGCGTGGATTTTTGTCGTGGTATAGGACGTCGCAGGTCGACCCAGCCTAAAATGGGTACCAGGATGGGCTGTCCTGGGAAAGTAAAGACAGCCGGCGTAATGCTGACCACATTACCCACAGAGTGCTGATGGTCTGTAAAAATATGGGACGCTCTGTCCATATACCCGATGAGCCGATAGGCGTGAAAAGGGATCTTTACTTTACTTTTTATAGATCTAGCTGTCCCACCAGTTAGCCTGCCTCCTCTCAATCACCCTACTTGTTTTGGTCCACGGTCTCTTATTCAATATATTCGCGACTAACCTCTATATCTAAAGGCTGTTTCGCCATTCGCCACCCTGTGGACGCGCCAAGTAGTAGGACGGGCTCCTACCACAGGAGAGTCACTAATGAAGAACTAAAAACAATAATAGGCGCAGTACCGGTGAATGATTTCATAAAACATCAAAGAATCAAACGGTTTGGTTTTTCTTCTTCTTCTGCGTTCGACATCAGTCATGCTAAACATCGAGTCCCGTCTGGGTCACAAATAGGATTGTGCGTTTAAAGTCGCCACCGGTCCCCCATAGCTTCTCTTTCAATGTGGCTCCCTTGGGTCAGATCCACAGTCTTTGCTGGGAGAGGTTAGGGCAGTACTGCAGTATGTGCCCAGGGGTCTGTCTTTCTGCTCCACAATCACAGGCAGCAGATTCTTTTAGGCCTATCCTGTACAGGTGATCAAACGGTTTGGTCGTCTGGTCAGAATGGAACAAAAATCAGCCATCAGCAAGAGCATACTACATGAGAGCAGCACGCTACAAGGCAAGAGGCCGACCAAGAAAGACATGGGTAGAGGAAGTAAAAGAGACACTACAGAAACCTAATATGATATTCATAAAAGCTACCTGACTAGCAAAATACGGGAAACTACATACAACTCCTCTCTATGACACTTTGTGGCGCAAGCAGTGAGGCAAAAAAGGAAAGAAGACAGATTCTAAACGGTAATGCCAGCTGATCATAGGGGCGGGGTTGAAATTTTGATGTATCGGAAGAATATGAAATCATAAATGGTCAATTATGTGTTAACAATAAAACATCTTCGTATGTCTTCTTGACTCCATCAGTTACCTACGTCGGTGAAGTTGTGGAGAGGGGAGGGGGAGGGTATACGGATTTTCTCCATGCTGTTTCAAATTCGGCAAACTACTTAACTTTATTAAGGAGGACACAGGCTATATACTGCACAATTTATTGACTGGCATTTTTCGCTGCTGATGTAGCGGCTAGACGCTCGTCTGCGAATCCTAAGGTTGTGGGTTCAAATCTGCATGGTGGAATATTCTTTAAACATGACCTTGGCTCCTAGGTCAACCCAGTCTTAAATGGGTTCCAGGTATTTCTTGGAAATTGCAGGCGGCCAGCATGAAGTTGATAACACCATCCATCGATGGTCGTTTAGTCTATAAATATATGAGTCAGGCCTCATACGCTCGATGCGCTACTGGTGTGTAAAACTGTTTATGGAAAATTTTTATAGTTAAAAATACATAAGAACCCATACATGTTTAATTGGCTTGGGGCGTTCTGAAAAGGAACATGTAGCAAATAATAACTATACCTTTCTGTAAGTCTTCGATTCTTCTTATGCCGTCGTTCCATCTCTTGTAGTTCTATGATGTTTGGAATTATTTTAATATGCTGATCCTCTGTAGCAGTGATACTGATAGCCGTTAGCTGGCCAAACAATTCCAACTGTTGTCATTTAATACACAGTCTGTCTGATTTCAGTCATAGTGTATTTCTAATTGTGTCATATTACTTTGAATCTTTCCTTGAATAAGATATCTCATCTTCGTTGTCGTGGCTGTCTTTTGTTTGGTGAATTTAGTTAACACACGTTTCTCAAATCTCTCTTTGGACATCTTTGAGTAGTTTCATCTTCTGCCAGTTTGCCTAACCTTTTGTAGATTCATCATTATTTAATTTGCACAATTGTCACGAATGTATAAATAACGTACATGTTTACAATCAATTCAGGTGAACCCACTTCTAGAAGCTTTTGGCAATGCCAAAACAAGTTTGAATGGTAATTCTAGTCGATTCGCAAAATATCTGTCTTTGAACATCAACGAAAAAGGGAAGATCGAAAGTGGTGAGTTTTGTTAAGAAACCATTGTTGTTTTTATATTTGAGGGATGAGATGCCTAGGAAAGCAGTAAGTTTACCAGTCACAGGCTAAGCTAGAAACGAAGTCATTAGACTGACTGGGTGTAAAAGAAAATGGAAAAATATGTCAAATAGCTTTGATGTCTTGTTAGAATGCAGTACTAACACAGAAGCAGCGTTTAAGATGAGATAAAAGAGCAGGAGAGCACCTAACAAGAACATGGAACTGACATCATTAAAACAAATTGTACATTTACATGGAATGATAATACACAGTCTCATCAATTAACAGATTGACCACTAACTACTCCCCGCTCTTTTCCTACTCTTGAATACAAAAGTAGGAGAAGAGGATGATATTGTAGATTATATGGTGGTAAGTCAGTTGCGACTCATATAAAGATTTGGCCTCCGTTGCCAACCGTTTCCTGCACCAATTGTTAAAAGTAAGCAGACGACACGACGTTTTGTCTGCTGGAAAATGTCCGTAATTTGAACCTTCGTGGATTCGAATTGTTTTTTGTTATTAATATTAGCTAAATTTATGTTTAAAAGATACATATTTATAAACAACTGTAGTGTTTTGCAGTGTTATAGTTACATACCATACAACAAAAAGATGGAAAGTTACGAGATAAATCAAGACTGTTATTCAAACTAGCAGTAAATTAGTCCTCCCCCCCCCCCCCCCCCCCCCCCCCCCCTCACTCACGTCTGCATGAACTCGATCAGAAAAAAGGGGGAGGGGGATACTGAATTAAGATAAATTTATTAAATGTATGATCTTTGTCCACCGTTTGCCGTTCTTTTTATTAAAGGCATTTTTTTTTGTGTCACAATACGTGGTGATATTCTTGGTAATTTGGTATTGTTTATCTGATCTCATCTTGACCCTTTGGTACCTTGCAATGTCGAGGTCAAATATATATAATTTACGGGAAAGAGCCCGTTTTTGTGCTACAGTGCTACGCAAATTGGGATTCCCAGGGCCTCTGTAATTACCTCTGTCCATTGCTTGCATGGTCGGCCTCTTCTTTACTTCCTGCCTGGTCTGTACATTATTGCCGGCTGTGGTATTTATTGTTGATATCAGCATTAAATGGCCAAACCATTTTACCGGTTGTCTTCTAATGAAATCCAGAGCTGCTGGTACACCCCCCCCCCCCCCTTTCCCCCCCCCCCCATCCACATTCCCCCCCCCCCCCCCCCCATTTTCCTTCGGATTTCATTGTTTCTGATCTTATGTCTTCTTGTTAAATTGAGAACCCTTTGCAGGAATTTTATTTCATTTGTTGTAACTTTTTTTTTTCGCTTTTTTTCTGTCATTGTCCAGGTTAGGCATTTATAACACGGGGTTGGGAAGTAGATTGTGTCATAGAGAGCTACTTTGTTCTGTTTCTTTGAGCGAAGAAAGTAATCCCCTGCCGGCTTGCTGGGCAAGTCGCAGGTTAAGGACAGAAAGAACTGACCTAGAGGATTCCATCCACCTAGGTGAGCCAGAGCCCTGTTGGCCCATGACCTGGGTGCCATGGTTTCCCAGCCTACACCACTTTGAGATGGATTGGCCTGCGTGGTATATCAGCAGGCTACTAATTTTTGCTTTTGGCCCCTCGAGAGAGAGAGAGAGACTAGACGATCCCAACCGTGCTGGCTAAAGGGGCAGGCACAGTCCACACCTTGTGAACACCTTTGTGTTGTTATTATCATGAAATTAGTAATAAAAACTATTTTATGAGGTAAGGCTGCTGTTATACTGACGAATCACTCGTCAAGTAATGTTGTATCTCTCATCAAGAGTGTAGACCTAACATCATATCCCACACTCTGGCAATGACCAGGCAGTGAATTCCCCCTTATTCTGTTACCAATGGAATAAAAAGTGTAATGTTATGGTATTGTAATATTTTATTTGTATTATTTGTAATAAAATACATGATTTTTACACCAGCACGAGTCAAGGACTATATGCTTGAGAAGTCACGAGTGGTACATCAGGAAGCTGGGGAAAGAAACTTCCATGCATTTTATGCATTCTTGACTGGAGCCTCAGATGATACCCTAGAGACTGTGTTCATCAATCGCTCTGACACATTTAGGTGAGCCGAAGAAATTAGACTCTGTTACTTAGGGAGGGGGGAGTCGCCGTGGCATTGGTGGCTAGACACTCACCTGTGGATCGGAAGGTCGTGGGTTCACGTCCTGACAGAGCCTGACCTTTTTTTTTTTAATGACCTTGACTCCTAGGTCAACCCAACCTTGAGTAGTTATCAGGTGCAGTCCTGGGTGTAAAGGCGGCCGGCGTGATGCTGACTACATCACCCACCAATTGCTGATTGGTCTATAAAAATATAGGTCTAGTCCTGTATTCCCAAAAGGACTAAAGGCGTGGAAAAATGACCTTTACTCTCCTTTACTTGGGGGTTAGGTAGGTAGATTGGCAGTTTTGTACATTGATCACTTGATGAGTAGGTGGGTTGTGAATTGATTGGTTGCTTGGTGCATTCATTGGTTGGTAGGTAGGCTAGTTGGTAGGTAGGCTGGTTGATGGGCAAGTTGGTTGATTAGTAGGCTAGATGGTTGTTTCATTGGTAGACTGGTTGGTTGTTATGTTAGCTGGTTGTTGGTTGGTTAGAAGCTTGATTTATTGGTAGGCAGGATGTTTCATTAGTTCTTCTTAAAATCTATGCCGTGTGGCGTTGGTAGTCATGTGTAACCACAACCTTCTGTCTTGTGTACATTCAGTCAGTTCTGACTCAGGTGATCTTCCATATTGTGATGTCATACTGTCCAGCATATTCTCTCTCAGTCACCCTCTGCCTCTCTTCCACTGTCACGATGTACTCCAGTTTTCGCCTTCTTGTGACATGACCAAAGAATATAGATTGTCTCTTTCTGATGTTGGCAATCAATTCTCTTTGTGAGTCAGTTTCTTTCAAGACTTTATACTCTTTTTATCTGTCCAGGGTATTCTCATTATTCGTCTAAAACTATGTCTCTGCAGCATCCAAATAATTTTTTTGTCTCAAATCACAAAGAAAGATTACATAAAATATTTTTCATTTGGTAAAATGCTGCCTTTGGCTGAGCTATTCTGCAGTTTTCTTTAATACATCTTCCATTTGGTGTTGTCAGGGTACCTATGTAGTAGGTTCATTAATAGGTTAATAGTTTGTATGGTTGATAGGATGTTTGGCTGATTGGTAGGATGGTTGGCTGGTTGGTAGGATAGTTGGCTGGATGGTTGGCTGGTTGGTGAAATTGTTGGCTAGTTGAAGCTCAAGATTATTCATCAAAATAAAAATATTTAAAAAAGGGAAAAACAGTCATTTTTATCTGGTTGTTAGCAGAAAAAATGGATTACATAAATTAGACTTTCATTGTAAGATATTAGACAAGAAAGCCAGAGAAAGACAGAAAAGTATGTACGTGGCAAGTAGTAATTGTAATAGTAATTGAATCACAACAAAGAAATATGTGTGAGGAAAGTAGTAGTAAGTAATTGAATCATAGAGATCCGTTATGTAGATAAATACGTTATAAGGAGTTTTAGTCTTTCCAAACACTGGATATTTCTGTTTCTTTAATACTTTTGTCTATGGCAAAAGCATTGCGAGCATGCTTCTTAACTCTGAAGTGCTGGGTTCCATTCCAGCTGTGGGCAATTTGACAGCAGACCTTGGTGTTTTTGAGAGTGGTATGAGGAGCTGACTGTTCAGAGAGCAGCTGGAGATGACCATTTGAGATGAAACGGGTGCAATTTGATGTTTTGAAAAGTTCCTGTTAATCAATTAACTGTAAGCAAGCTGTTTGTTTGCTTTGAATTGGTGTCTCAGATAAGGCAAAATGAAAATCAGATGTTTAAAAAAAAAAAAAACATCTTATGAGGACATGATTATTAACAGGCTGAATGCCACATTTCAGTAGCTTACATCAAATTGTTACTGAGTTACAGATTTTCAAAGTTGTGCAATACTTTTGAAACAGACTATTGCATTTGTTATCTGTATTCTTTTCTGTGTTATCTTCAGAATCACTGGCTCATCACTGAGTCGAGAAGAGAAAGAACATTACCAGAAAATCTACAAAAACCAACAGGCAGTGTTTCAACTGATCAAACTTGCTTCAGAGGTAATTCAGTCATTTATTTTCTACCTCACCACATTCATCTGCTTCCTGTACATATAAGGTGTAAAGTCTCACTACACTTTGTCTGTGGAACAAGTTTGAAAAACCTAAGTACATCAAAAATTGTGATAAAAATGTAATTCAGTTAGTTACAAAAGTCACTGCTATGGCACTGTTTTGGGAAAGCTGGAAATACAAATGAAATATTCTTTGTAACAGGTCTTGGAAACGTCCACCACAAGCTTCAAGACATGGCTTTACACATATGTTTATATTGTCTTATGCCTTCTGCATTGTGACTGTTGTTATGTCTTGAATGGTAATTCTGACTGCTGCCATTGATAACAATATTCCGTTTTGAGTGCAAAGAATTACTCCAGCAGACGACACCCACTCACTGCATATTGCTTTGCGATTGACTGTGGAACACATTTTATTATGACGTCATGTACTTTGTTTTTTTACATTTGTTCTACATACAGAGTGCAGAGAGACTTCAGAAACACCCTGTATTTTTTTTCAGCTTTTTTGAGCTCCTATTTGTGTGCTTGATTATCTATTAATTTTTCATAATGTTTAAGTATGTGTTGACATGTCAACTCTAAAGCGAACGTTGATGAGGAAGACCAAAGGTGTTGGACTGAATTCCATCCATGATACTGAAACTTCTTCTTCTTCCCGTTATCTGGCTGTAAACTATGTCAAAAAATTATGTCTGTTCCTCTACTTCTGGACTCTAGTCCTGTTCCAGAACCTGAGTGTTGATGCGCATCCATTTTACACATCTGACTTATTTGTGTGCAGTCATTTGGTTCCTTACCTTTCAGACAGATGCACTCCAACTTCAAAGGAAGCTCCAAATTAGTAGACTCTTATGACATGTTTTTGGATAGGCAGTCAGTCTGTTGTTGTTTTCCCCCACATTGGGGTTCTAGAACTTACACAGAGATGATAATTAAAATGATTGTAAAGGATAGAACAAAATGTAGGTGTAGACTGCGAGCCCTATGTGATTTATAATAACACAAAAGGATAGTGATATGGTGATGTGAAATTCATAATCTGTTTTGATCAGCATGTTTGTATTGTAAATGTTATATTGGCAAATTATCTATATCTGATGTTACACTTGTTTAGCCCGCTCATCGCATTTATGTTTCATATATTTTTATCCCTCTGATGCAGCACTTCAGAATCTATTGTGTTATCTATTATGTGAGGGGCGGGGGATGTTTGTTTGTTTCATGGACACAGCAATCCTTTTTTACAGTTTAAATTTTTTGAATGAAGATCTCTGGGGAATCATCACTGTAGCTACGGAGTTCATGTTTCTGATGCTGTCAGCAGACAGCTACCCATTCTGTGGAGAGACACTGAGCCATATGGGATAAAATATGTTGTAAAGGAGTTAATCCTATCGACTTCTACCCTTTAGAATGCATTGTTTACATTTGTATGTGCTATGTTTAAATCCATCTGTTTTCCTTTTTTTTTTTTTTTTTTAACACTAAATTACCTGTCCAGTGACTTGTATTCTTCATCTTCTTTTTTCTTCTTCTTCTTCAACTTTTTTTTTTCTTCTTAATGTTCACAGGCTGTAAACTCTAGCAGAAAATTCTTGTTCATCCACTTCTTGACTTTAGTCTTGTCCAGAACTTGAATTTTGTTTGCACGCCAGAACGTCTGGTTACACCCAGGGGCTTCATTCTCTCCAGGCCATAATAATCTTGTTTCTCTACTGGTTCCGTTGCTTCTTCCCAAAGGGCCTTGACCACATCTGCCTTTTCATGTATCAATTTACAACCCAGTGGTGCAGATCCAGCCAATCTGTTTGCCTGTTCACCCACTACACCAGCATGGCCTGGACAAAAGATCCAAAGTATGCTCACTACCCGTGTGTCTGCTGGTAAAGAAGAAGATATTGTTAAATGTGATAGGTAATGAGAAACTATTTTTCAATGTTAAATTTGAGATTTCTGTTTTAGGAGATCCAAGATATCAACGTAATCATAGCCACAGTGCTTCATCTGGGTAACATTGAATTTGAAGAGACTGACAATGATTGTGTTGTCATTAAAGATGAGATTGTTGTACATAATGGTAAGCACTGCAGACTGTTTTAAATATCACAGCTATGAGTTAAGTTTGATTAAAAACCAACATCACGGCACTCGAGGCATTCCCATGAGCTCTGCTCCCCATCTTCAGCAGCCAGCGCAGAGTTCCAATATCAGTGGTGTCAGTAGAATTCTGATTAAACGTCCCTCTTGCTTTTCCTCAGAGCTATGTTTCCCCAAAACCGAATGCCTAGTACATAAAATAATTAAGAGGTTTGGTAGTCTGGTCAGAATGGAACAAAATTGTTCTACATGAGAACAGCAGGTTACAAGGCAAGAGGCCAGCCAAGAAAGAAATGGGTGGAGGAAGTAAGACACTACAGAAATGCAAAATGACCTTAACACAAACTGTGCAACTAGCATATATAAATCAACTGCATATAACTTTTTTCTCTGACGCTTTGTGGCATATGAAGTTAGGACAAAAAAAGAAGAGTATTCCTCATTGTAAATTTGAAAAATGAAGGCACAAATAATAGATTACACAATTTACTGCCTGTCTTGTTTCGTTGTATCTCGTCAGGTGCATACAATAGTAAAAGTAGAATGTAAAGAAGCAAATAAATAAATCTTTCTGACTGACTGAAAATCAGCTACATTAAAAAGTAAACTAACTGTTTTACCAAAACAAACAACCAGGTCTTTTTGTCTGCACGAAGCTGGAAGAAATCGATTTATTGTTGTGGTTTTAATGAAGCAAAGCATTCTGCAATTTGGCAGTGAATGTTTTTAATGTAAATATAAGCCTGTACACAGGGGTCTCTGTAGCAAAATGGTTTCAAGGTTGTGGGCTCAGTTTTACATGCAGTCTTTTTTTTTTTTTTTGCAAGTACAAGTGTTGGAGATTCTTGATGGTCATTGCAGGAGCTGCAGAGTTTGTGCTTCATGTGACATTCTTAGCAAGTGAGCAGCCACTCTGTTGCAAGAGACAAAGCTATATAGGTTAATACCCTGTGCATTGAAGTCGAAATCACTGTTTGGTTTGGTTTATAGTTTATACATCAGATCAACAACATGGCACAAGGGTAGTAACCCATAAGTGCTCTATCCTACTTCTAACTCAAACCTGAGTCTGAAGAATCTCAGCGCAGTGCACAAACTCCGTAGCACCGGCGAAGATCCTGAAATACTTTAGGTAGGTTTTTAAACTCCAAATTTTGCCCAGGCAGCGCCGTTAGACTACTTTTTTCTATTTCCAACTGCCAAGGGATTTTTTACATGCGCAACAATACACACGGGCGTCCGATATTACTACCCAGAGACCAGGGGAAAAATTATTAGAAGTCCACGTGAAAAAGTTCCAGCCTTCACTGGGGCTTGAACCTGGGACCTCCAGCACTTGCGGCGGATGCCATGCCTCAAGATTTCTCAGCTCTCTCCCCCCCCCCCCCCCCCAAAAAAACAGTTTTCAGTGTTAAACACCTGTATATATATCTACAAGCATGATAAGAGAATCATTTGGGAAAATAAGATTGATGAGAAAAACTGATGGAAGAGAGGAACAGATGAGATGGACAGATGAATTAACTCTCTGAGTTTAGGGGATTTAGCATCAGAGGAACAAGGGGTGGTAATGCATTTTTTTTTATTTTACAAGTGTAACACATTAAAACAGACCATACTAATTAAACTGCCTTGCAACTTACACATATTATACATCAAAGTGACCAGGGATTGTTGGGGAAAGATAATAGAATACTGCTACAACAAATAATTGTGTTAGTAATCAAATAATAGTAAATAAACAGATGGGAGTCGCCGTGGCGTAGCGGCTAGATGCTCGCGTGCGGATCGGAAGGTCGTGGGTTCGCTCCCTGGCGGAGCCGGACTTGTTTAAAAAATGACTTTGACTCCGAAGTTGACCCAGCCTTGAGTGGATACCGGGTGGAGTCCCGGCAGGATGCTAACCGCATCACCCATCTTGTGCCGGTTGGTCTAGAGACAAACCCTGAGACAAACAGAGGAATTTAAGTATTTGGGAGCAATTTTTACATCAGACGGAAAACTGGACAGAGAAATTAGCTCCAGATGTGCCAAAGCTAATCAAGTAATGGGTCAACTATCTCCCCTGTTGACACACAAGCAGATACCTCAGAGTACTAAAGTGAATCTTATCAGAACTATTTTTTTGGCCAACACTATGCTATCAATGCCAAACGTGGACACTTACATCCTCCAACGAACGTAAAATTGTGACAACAGAGATGAAATGCCTTAGAAGAGCTGCAGGAGTTTCAAGGAAAGACAATACGAAATCATGAAATCAGACGAATGCTAGGAATAAAGCCAGTCTTACAGGTCATCAAAGAACAACAAATGAAGTGGTTTGGACACCTAACAAGAATGCCCTGGTACTATCCGCCACAGCGAGCCACACTAAAACGTTACAACGGGTACAGAGCGAGTGGAAGACCTAGGAAAATATGGAGTGATGGCATTAAGAACAGCCTTACAGAAATGAACATCAGTCTTAATAGTGCTCTTGACAGAGCTCATCAACGAACATTACATCTCCCCCCGACACTTCGATGAGGTACAAGGTGGAAGAGAAGAAGAATAAGAAGAAGGTCTAGAAAAATATAGGTCTAGCCCTATATGCCCTATACACCTAAAGGTGTGGAAAAGGGACCTTTTCATTTTTTTAACTAAAAAAAACAGACGGTATGTTTACAGAAATTAGTAAAATGAAATAATAATGTTTTCACTTACCACCATGGCGCTCAAGGAAAACTCGTTGAAATATATCTAAAATGAATCACAAATTAACATGAACCACTTAATAATGTATAAGTAGAATATAAACTCAATTTGTACATTAGATTTTGTTCCAGAGAATTTTCTGAAGCATCAAAACAGCACCATTATTTTTTAAAGAAAACCTGACTTCCCAAAACAGTTTGTATCTTCACACAAACTGAAGTTTATATAACACTAAATTTGCCTCTAATTTTGTAGCTATGTTCCTAAATAATGAGGGGAATAGCACTAGAAATAACTGACGCCGAAGAAATTGCCTTTTCACTAATACTTTTGCTTTTTGTACCAGCTGACTTTGCTATCGTTGTATCCTTCGCGTGAGTTACACACTAGACCGATCCATCAACAAAGTTTGACTTTAAATGACTGAAACACAGCTACTCTGCAACATTATCTATCTAACTTCGGATAAATCTAAAAAAAACATGTTTTTTATTTAAATTGAAGGCTTTTAAAGCCGCAAGTCAGTCATGATGGGATGCATATAGAATACTGCTCTGTGGCCATATTGTTTTCAAAGAAAAACTTAGTAACTTGGTTAACCTCACAAATATATCATATTTTTGGGCTTTAAACCACGTTTCCAAATGAAGAACACCTTATATCAGACAGAAAGACCTTGGAAGGAAGATGAAATTGAGCGGTCTGCGTTTTATTACCGGTCAGTGGTAAATTAAACCTTCACTTGTCACTCGCTGACTGGCTATAACCTATTAGTGCTGGATGCGTTTCCTGGGACTCAAAGAGTTAAGGTGGTAAATTTGGGAGGTACAGATGAAAGATTGAGATAGATGAGAGATCTGGATGGAAGAATAGGGTAGATAAGAGAAATGGGTAAAAGGGGGTGGGTATAAAGATAGATTAGAGAGTGGGGTAGATCAGAGAGACAGTTTATAGAATGAGATAGACAAGAGAACTCAGGAAGGAATGAGATAGTCAAGAGAGACTGTTAGGAGAATGGGGTAGATGAGAGAGCCAGAAGGGGAAAATGAAATAAATTAGAGAAATAGATTGCTATCAGTGCCAGACATGGTCACTCACAATAGAACATTTAAAAAAAATTAGTAACCTTGAAAATGAATATTTGAGAAAGACCGTAGCAGTGACCAGAAGAGATTTTATCAAGAATGAGGTCATATGAGATAAAGTCGACACAGAACCAATTCTAAATTACAAAGACCGCAAATCAAATGGTTTGCCAACTTGGAGAGAATGCCTTCTGATGCTATACCATACAAGGCATTTACCAAAAGAGGAGAGGGACGTAGAGCAAGAGGTAGAACAAGAACAGTATTGGAGGATAACATCAGAGAAACTCTACAGCACCATGTTGTAAAGTCAGTCAAATGTATTCTAGTGTTTGTAACTAATTTAATTGATGTAGATGATATTTATATTATGCAACCTGTAAGACTTATATCATTCTTTTAGGAATAGGCTTATTACTATACTCTTTAAAACATTCAGTAATGTCAGTATAATTAGAGCACATTCCAGCATTTGTAATTAAGACTTAGATATTGCAAACTCTTGTTTTCTTTTTCTTTTCTTTTTTTAAAATTTTAATTGTTATTATTATTATTAACTATGAAATGAGATACAAATGAAAAACTGTCTGCAAGGAGCGAAGTGGAAGGGCAGAATGTTAGACGGACCTGCATGCTCAATTCTTAACCCATGTAAAATAAAGTTTGTTTGTTTGTTCGTATGATCGAAACAGCCAGAAGAGCACGAAGCAGGATCTTATCTCCCTCAGCGCCCGAAATGGTAAAAGAGGACATAAAAAAAGAATAGATTAGAGAATAGGTTGTGTAAATACATAGATAGAAGAGCAGAGTAGATCACTGCTGCTTTCCAAGAAAAAATCATAGGTATTCATTCTGTAAGGCTAGATTAACATGCAAGTTGTACTTTTTAAAAAACCAATATAATCTGTTCACCGCCAAGAATTTAACCCATTGTCCTATTGTTAAGTAAGTGCATTGACCTCATTACGGGTCTGTAATAACTCTTCTTCTTTTTCTTCTTTTTCTTCTTCTTCTTCTTCTTCTTCTTCTTCTTCTTCTTCTTCTTCTTCTTCTTCTTCTTCTTCCTCTTCTTCTTCTTCTTCTTCTTCTTCTGCTTTGGTCCTTACAAGCCTGTTGTTGGCACATTGTGTTGTGGTTTACTGCTAGGATGTGATATTTGTACCTTTTGTTCCAGTATATCTGGTTTCAGAAAACCCCAAATTAGTCACTTTTTAATAAAATGCTTTTCTTTTTGTGTAGAGGGGAGGGGGATTCTATTCATTTTCCCCTAAAATGGATACCCATAACCCACACAAGGTGTAACATAATGTAAAATACATATGCATTAACATACCCCTATATATAAATGCTTTACTTTTTACATTGTCTGCTTACAGTGGCGGCCTTACTGAATGTGGATGTGACAGCATTGACCAAGATCTTCATTGAGCGCAGTGCCAAAATGGGAAATGGTAAGGAACACAAAACATTCTTCCACTTGTCTATCCTTGTTGCATCTAAAAAGTGGGATTACTATCTGTAAATTGCCATTATGACATCACCATGTTCATCTTCACCGTGTTTAACACTCTTGACATCTTATATAACAATATTGAAAGGTTACCAGACAATGGTATGGTTATTATAATTTCTGCCACACTTTTAAGTCTTTCATTTTAAACCTCTTCGTTAGTTCTCTTGTATGAAAATAGTACACTCAAACCTGTTGCATTGTGGTCTTTATTCCCCTGGCATTGTTTGCAAAATCTTCTAGTTAAAACAACGAGAAAATTATTCTACTCTACACCTGCTCCATTTAGTCACAAAATATACGGAGTTGTCAGTATTCTCAGGTTGACCTGTTAGGGTTGTGGAGGTGTTCGATGGAAGCACTAGCATATTTATGTGATCAGATGTATGTGTCCATCTGGGCTAAGTTGTGTTAAGCAGCAAGATCACAGCCCTTTAGAGATTCCTGTGAGCTCTCTCTCTCTCTCTCTCTCTCTCTCTCTCTCTCTCTCTCTCTCTCTCTCTCTCTCTCTCTCTCTCTCTCTCTCTCTCTCTCTCTCTCTGTTTTAAGCAACCAGTGTAAAGTTTCAAATTCTTTGGTACCAGCTGCCGTCTGATTCTTCTTCTTTTTAGCATTCACCAGCTTAAACTCAATCAAAAAGTTCTCGGTTTTTTTCTGTGTGTGTGTCTGTTTCTGGGCTTTGGTCTTTCTTATTCCAGACATGAGTTTTGCCTGTACGTCTGTGTTACAGATCTGGCTTATTTGTATGGAGACTTTTGGTTGCTCTCGTCTCAGGCAGATGCACTCCAATTTAGAAACTCCCATGATTAGTAGCCTTGTTTGACATGCTTGTTAGGGAGACACTGTTCCCTAGCTGCCACTGGGGCTTGGCCACATCTAACCATTGGGCCTTGGTCCCATGATGATAATTTTAACAATCAAACAATAACTTATATAACTCATTCATATATATTTATGGTGGGTTTTTCTCTTCCTCTTTCAGGACAAGTCATTCAGCTCTCCAAGAACAAAATTCAAGCAGAAGATGAAAGGGATGCTGTAGCTAAAGCTTTGTATGAAAGAATGTTTGGCTGGCTTGTCATCAAAATTAATGAATCACTCAAGGCTGAGAAATACAGGTTGTGTAATAGATTTCTAGTTGTTTGTTGTTTCTCTAAGTTTGTTTTGTTCCTCTAGGGTCTTTTGTTTCTCTAGGTTTGTTTTGTTTCTCTAGGTTTGTTTTAGTTTTCATTTTTTTTATAAGGATAATTTTTATGAGTCAGTCTCAAACCTGACCGACATAGATAGATCATCATTCTTCACCTGAGGACAAGGTTGAGAAACTTAACAATAATGTATACAGACTTTGTCCTCAAGACTGTCTCTTGAACAGCCCATTGAGAAGGAAATACTTGCCCATTGAGTCAACATTATACTCTAAGTTGTATCAAACTGAAGAGGAACTCTTTAAACAAACGGCTTATTTTATCATAAGCATCATTTACTTGGGAGCAGCCATGGTCTAGTGGCTAGACGCTCAGAAGGTCCTCAGTTAGATTCCTGAGAGAGCTGGACTGTTATCAGAAATGACCATTGCTCCCAGGTCCACTCAGCTTTGAGTAGGTACAGGGTACAGTCCTGGAAAGTAAAGGTGACCAGCGTGATACTAATCACATCACCTACCAAGTACTGTTTAGTCTGTAAAATATAGATCTAGCTCTATATGCCCAATATGCCCATAACTGTAGGTTTTATGTCTTTTCAACTGTAGGTTTTATATCTTTTATTCATAACTGTAGGTTTTATATCTTTTCATCATAACTGTAGATTTTATATCTTTCCCTATAACTGTAGGTTTATATCTTTTCATCATAACTGTAGCACTGGCAAGGATCCACATGTACGCACACTGTATTAGAATCTCAGATACTATACATTTTTTTAATGCAAATTTCTCATGTCGAAATTTTACCTAAGCAGTGACTCTTCCAGGCTGTTCATTTTTATTCCCAGCTGCTAAGGGGATTTTTATGCACATACGACCTCCTCCAAATGGCTTCGCCTTGTTCAAGAGGGTTAGGTTTCCAGTTCACTACACCAAGGAACTAATAAGCAACATAATCCAAATATGGATCCGTGTCTTTCTGAGCGAGAGGCAAACAGCACAAAACCACTTCATCGTGGAGACCTGCTTCCACCCAGACATTGGATACTTCTTCTTCTGCAGTGACAACAAAATTATAGATTTAGTACATCCTCAGGGACTAAATATGCAGTAGAATGTAGGAGAGCTGTAAACTCTGGCGGAAAGTTCTGGTTGTTCATCCACTTTTGGACTGCAGTCCTGTTCCAGAACCTGAGTGTTTTGTGTGCATCTGTTTTACAGATCTGACTCATTTGTATGCAGACGGCTGATTCCTTGCCTCTCAGGCAGATGCACTCCGACTTTGATGGAAGCTCCCAATTAGTCGACTCTTATGACATGCTTTTGTGTAGGCCATGGGTCTATTCTTTTTTCTCCATAATAGGGCCTTGGAACCCACACGGGGAGGAGACACATGTGTTGCTGTGACTAAACTTAAGATTCAGAAACATATATAAGATCTTTTCAGGTTGTCTGTAATATTGAGTCAGATATGGTACTTAAAGAGTTTAAAGAGCCATTGGGGTGTTTTGATGTGGTTTACAGCTAGACTGCAGTGTTGGTGTGGGTTGGTGTGTGGATGCATGTATGTCTGTGTTTGTTTGTTGGATAGTTTATTAAGATTAGTTAATGATCAAAATATTCTGTTTATTTCACAGTAACTTGCCAAGCATTGGGATCTTGGATATCTGTGGATTTGAGGATCTGCGCTTGAACAGCTTTGAGCAACTCTGCATCAACTTGATGAATGAACAGCTGCAGAACTTCATGAACAAGAGGATTATAGAGGATGATATGGAGCTGTATCGTAGTGAGAAAGTGGAGATTGGGGATGTGGATACTGACAGCATTAACAATGACAAGCTTCTGAGATTATTCATGGACGAGGTTAGAATAGAACACTCTGTGTACTGTTTATTCATGGACGAGGTTACAATAGAACACTCTGTGTACTGTTTATTCATGAACGAGGTTACAATAGAACACTTTGTGTACTGTTTATTCATGAACGAGGTTACAATAGAACACTCTGTGTACTGTTTATTCATGAACGAGGTTACAATAGAACACTCTGTGTACTGTTTATTCATGAACGAGGTTACAATAGAACACTTTGTGTACTGTTTATTCATGAACGAGGTTACAATAGAACACTTTGTGTACTGTTTATTCATGAACGAGGTTACAATAGAACACTTTGTGTACTGTTTATTCATGAACGAGGTTACAATAGAACACTTTGTGTACTGTTTATTCATGAACGAGGTTACAATAGAACACTTTGTGTACTGTTTATTCATGAACGAGGTTACAATAGAACACTTTGTGTACTGTTTATTATTAAGTGAGGTTACAATAGAACACTTTGTGTACTGTTTATTCATGAACGAGGTTACAATAGAACACTTTGTGTACTGTTTATTATTAAGTGAGGTTAGAATAGAACAGATTGTGTACTATTTTTTTATTAATGAGATTGCAGTAGACCACTTTATATATTGCTTATTAATGAATGAGGTTAGAATAGAACAGATTGTGTACTATTTTTTCATAAATGAGATTGCAGTAGACCACTTTATATATTGCTTATTAATGAATGAGGTTACAATAGAAAACTTTGGGGACTGCTTATTCATGAATGAGGTTAGACAGAACTGTTTGTGTACTGGCTGTTTTGTTTGTGTCCTAAGAGGAAAGATATTAGTGCAATGACTAGAAGCTAGCCTGTAGGTCTAAAACTTTTGAGTTTGTGTTCGCATCAAGGTAGATTTTTAAAAAAAACTGAATTTGGCTTCTTGGTTGACTAAACCTAAAATTGTTGCCAGGAAATGTCCTGGGAGTAAAATAGAAAGGGGTATGTTGAGCACATACTGAAGTCCATTAATTTCAATTCCTCTGAATGGCAGAGCCTTCAGTAATATTTCTTTTCCTTGTTCAACTGTTCTTCTTCTTCTTCTTTATTTACTGGCTGTAAGATACGTAGAGAGTCTTGGTTGTTTGTCCATTCGACTTTGGCTTTGTACCAGGTCCTGAATTTTGCTCGTACATCGGTTGTACTCTTTTTTTGTCTGCTCATTTTTTTTTTTAATAACCTTTACCTTTACTTTGTTGGGCAGATGCACTCCCACTTCAAAGGAAGTGCTCACTTATTCAACTCTTGCAACATGCTAGTTGAGTTTTTCAGTAGGTCTGTTCTGGTTTTTCCCCACACTGGGGCCCGGAAACCCACAAGAGAAGCTGATTGTCCTTTAAATAGAAGTCATGATGGTAATACTTGATATTTTAAGCAAGTTGGTATCTGCAGCTTACAGTTTGTGAACATAGTTTTCCAATCTTGACATACCAGTGTTAAAAGTTAGCCTTAGTGATTTAATAGTAGATAACTTTCATTTATTTTGACAGTGGTGTGAGGGGTGCACTGTTCAGAAATCAGTGGCAGATTTCTTTTTCTTCTCTTCTTCTTCACTCCCTCTTTAATACCACTACCATATTTCACAGCCATTCCTCTATGTAGGGCTTATTGTGGCGACATTGATAGGGATGGGGGTGGGCTATACATTGGGTAACTACTAGGACCTGAGGTCATTTGGAACTACAGAACTTAGCATAGAGGTTCTAATATCTAACAGATTCTAAGGAAGGTATGGCCTGGCCAAGAAGATGGTCTCTCCTGCAGTTATATTTTTTGAAATGAAGCAAGAATTTAAAAAAGAACATGGCTTGTGTGAGTGGATGTTGAGGTAAATGTAAGGTTCTGCTTCTTGTACTTCTGGCTCCTTTGGCCATAGATACATCATGCTGTTGTAGAGTTTCTCTGATGTTATCTTTCCATCGTGTTCTTGGTCTATGTCCTTCTCCTCTTTTAGTGAACGCTCTATATGAATAGCATCACAAAGCATTCTTTCTGAGTGGGCAAACCATTTGATTTGCTGTCTTTATATGTAATTTAGGATTGGTTCTATGCCAATTTATTTCTCTTAAGATGACCTCATTCTTGATTTGTATCTCTTCTGGTTACTCCTGCAGCCCTCCACTGACATCTCATTTCCATAGTTATACTTATTTTTTAAATGTAAATTGCCTAGAATGACCACACAAGTGTTAAAATGAAAATTGTTGGAAAACTTCATGATGTCCTTTAACCCAGGTGCCACACATGAAAAGAGCTGAAGTGAAATTGAGAGGCAGACATGGGAGAAGATGGATTGATGACATTAAAGAGTTTTTGCTTAGACACGGAATGACAGTAGCCATTGCTGCCCATCAAGCAATGCATCACAAACTGTTCCTCCCCACACAACTCTTAATGGCAGGAGTGGAAATTGATGATGACGATGATTATGATGATGATCTGACTTTTAAATATTGCTTGCAAGAATGTTTTTCTCTATAAGTCTGTGAGAAATATGTAGTCTAACCCAATGTTTTACAGAAATCTGGCATCCTCAAAATGATCGATGAAGACACAAAGAGTGGTTTCAGCACTGATGAGAGGACTGTGGCCAAACTAACAGATCAGTTTGGAGATAGTGGGATTTTCATCCCAGCCACAGCAAATTTGGAGTTCAGTATTAGACACTTTGCTGGCAAGGTAAGTAACAAGTAACACTCCTGATCTCTTCTCCATTGATCCTCTCTTGAGGACAGTGTGTCAAATCTACTAAGTAATGATCTTTCTAGCTTAAAGGTCAGTATGATTTTAACCAAACTAACAGATCCGTTTGGAGATAGTGGCATTTTTTTCCAGCTGCATCAAAGTACATTTTCTTTGTTCTTCTTATGAGGGAAGTATATCATATCTGCTACAGTAAACCTGGTTAATACATATTTCAGGGGATGGAAAAACCGAGAATTCATGTTAAGTGAATTCATGCTAACCAGAGACTAATAGTACTTTTTCTTCTTCAAGACCATGTCATGTGGTGTTGGTAGTCATGCCTATCCACAACCTTTTGTCTCGTGTACTTTCAATCAACTCTGACACAGATGATCCTCCATGCCATGAGGTCAGACTGTCCAACATCTTTTCTCTCAGTCTCTCTCGGCCTCTCCTACCCTCCAACTTTTCTACTGTGAGGATGTACTCCGGTTTTCTCCTTCTCATCACATAACCAAAGAATAATACAGTAATAGGTCTTTGTTGGTACCAACATTTTGTTCATGTTAGCCAAATGTTCTTCTTAAGCAAATTTGTGTTAATGAGGCTTTACCATAATTAAATCACTTCTGTAGCTTAAATTTCAGTGTTCTGAGACTCTGAGGTGGACCCAGCCTTGTGGGTACCAGGTGCAGTCCTAGGAAGTAAAGGCGGCCGGCATGATACTGACCACATCAGCCACCAAATGCCGATTGGTCTATAAAAAAATAGGTCCTGCCCTATGTTCCCAATACGCCTAAAGACATGGAAAAGGCACCTTTTTCGCTTCTCAGTTTCCGAACAAGACAGTGAACCAAAGTGTCTTCATAATTTTTGTTTATCATCCATGTCTCACATGTATATAGCAACAGAGGTTCTATATAGCACTATAACACTCTTTCCTCACTGCAGTGACATCTTTTTATTGGTTAGTGTCTTTGCATCTTGTTAAAGGCTTTGAACTGTCAGTTCTTATTCTGATCACTATAAGCGGACAGACTGGCTAGCTCTTCACAACTTGGTGGAATACTGATACATGATAAAACAGATGTGGTTAGTGCCTTGTGGGAGAGCGTGTACAGTTTGGAGGAGCAGATGAATCACCACAGACTGGTGAGATTGATGCAGGGGGGAGTGACGAGAGGTTCCGGCAGATGCTCGAGGCTAAAAGGAAAGGCAAGATGGACGTTTAATCAGAATGCTACTGGCATCATTAGTATAAGAACTCTTCGCTGGCTGCTGAAGATGGGGACGGAGCGCTTATGCGAATGCCCCGAGTGCTGTGATGTTGGTTCTTGAATCAAATCAAATCAAATCTAATCTCTACAAGGCATCGTTTTTCAGATATTATGATTATTCCATGGTAAATTATATTGTTTTTATAATTTGTCCCATTTGCATTGATGTTACATTCTGGTGTGAAATTACTTTATACAAATGATTTTGTCATGTAATGTACCACCATTTTGCTGTCATGACATTGACAAAATCTCAGATAGAGTGCTAATAAACAGTGTCTTGTCCTGGAAGCTGAAATGTTTTGGTCATATCAAGGGCCATAGCTATTTGGAAAAAAATAATAGCAGAAGGCATGGTACCAGGAAGGAGGGGCAGGAGCCAACCAACATATTGAGATGGACCCAGGATATAAGTGACTCCATGGATATGAAAGTGCATGAGGCGGGAGAGCTGGCAAGAGACAGAGTTTCTCTCAGGCAGACCGTGATGAGAGCGACGTTCTGCTAAGGACATGATGATGATGATGATGTGGCAACCTGTTTGCTGTGAAGCTGGAAATGCAATTACCTGATTACCTGTCCTGTTGGTCTGGCATCTAGATTGAGATTCTTTAGTCTCAAGGTGTTAACCCTTCAAATAGCAACCTAAAGCTGAAATAACAGCCTGCCTGCACCAACCCTATGCCCAGTGCATCAGAGATGTAAAACGGGTCCTAACACTTTTATTTACCATCATACTAGGTGACCTACAGTGGACAGTCATTTCTGAAGAAGAACATGGACACATTGAGCAAGGATATGATGGACTGTCTGAAGTCCAGTCAGAGCACGCTCATCCAGGACTTGTTTTCTGTTCCTGAGACCATGACAGGCTCTATCTCCATGTAAGTAGCATTTGTGTGGGTTCCAGGGACCCATTCTTGGGGGAGGGGGAGGGAGGGGGTAAAGACCCTGACAGGCTCTATCTCCATGTAAGTAGCATTTGTGTGGGTTCCAGGGACCCATTCTTGGGGGAGGGGGAGGGAGGGGGTATAGACCCTGACAGGCTCTATCTCCATGTAAGTAGCATTTGTGTGGGTTCCAGAGATCCATTCTTGGGGAGGGGGAGGGAGGGGGTATAGACCCTGACAGGCTCTATCTCCATGTAAGTAGCATTTGTGTGGGTTCCAGAGACCCATTCTTGGGGAGGGGGAGGGGAGGGGTATAGACCCTGACAGGCTCTATCTCCATGTAAGTAGCATTTGTGTGGGTTCCAGAGATCCATTCTTGGGGAGGGTGAGGGAGGGGGTATATGCCCTGACAGGCTCTATCTCCATGTAAGTAGCATTTGTGTGGGTTCCAGAGACCCATTCTTGGGGGAGGGGGAGGGAGGGGGTATAGAACCTGACAGGCTTTATCTCCATGTAAGTAGCATTTGTGTGGGTTCCAGGGACCCATTCTTGGGGGAGGGGGAGGGAGGGGGTATAGACCCTGACAGGCTCTATCTCCATGTAAGTAGCATTTGTGTGGGTTCCAGAGACCCATTCTTAGGGGAGGGGGAGGGAGGGGGTATAGACCCTGACAGGCTCTATCTCCATGTAAGTAGCATTTGTGTGGGTTCCAGGGACCCATTCTTGGGGAGTCGGAGGGAGGGGGTATAGACCCTGACAGGCTCTATCTCCATGTAAGTAGCATTTGTGTGGGTTCCAGAGCCCCATTCTGGGGGTGGGGGGGTGGGGGAGTTATAGACCCACTGCTTCCCTAACAAGCATGCTGTACAAGATGATTAGTTAGGAGATTTTCCTTCAAAGTCAGAGTGCATCTGCCTGAGAGGCGAGGAACCAACAGTCTGCATACCAATGAGCCAGCTCTGTAAAACAGTTGTACATTAAAAAAAAACTCAAGATTAAACTGGAACCTTTTATGGATCTTGTAGAAGTTATACTTCTGTCTGTTGTGGATATAAAGGGATTATGTTTTAATCTGTGGTAAGTATTGAAAACCTATTGCCTGTCTGATAAGATTCCATCCTTGATGTCAAAGTGATTACACAGGATACAGTGGAATGAAGGATTAGACCGTGAGCCCTATGTGACATATAATGACACAACAGGACAGTGATATGATGAAATGTTGCAGAAATTATACTATAAACTGTAATCGATGTAGAAAAGATTATACTTTAACCTGCTATGGATATTCATTAGATTATGTTAATCAGTTGTAATATTGAAAAAAATTATATTGTAATCTATTGTGGAAGAAATTATAATTTTAATTTACTGTGGATATTGAAGAAATGCTTTAATCTGTTATGGCTATTGAAGAAACTATACTACTTTAATCTGTCATAGATATTAGAGATTATACTTTAATTGGTTATGAATATTAAAGAGATTATGCTGTAATCTGCTACAGATGCTAAAAAGATTATGCTTTACAGTATTAACCCTGCCAGACCGCTGGCCCCATTTTCCAGGAATTTCTTAACCTGACGCTATACCGCTGACCCTATTTTTCGCCTTTTTTGGATAGTATGGAAAAACAGTGAGCCACAGACTAAAAAATAACTTGCCAATTGTAATCAGATCTCGAGGATAGTCTTCCTAGATGTCCCCCTACATGTGTTTGGATAAAATTTGTGTTGTTTTCCGTGACAAAAATTCTTAAAATTCACAATAAAACGAGCGGCTGATGAACTAAGCACTTTGACAGGAAAGTGATGTAGGTCTAGGATTTTCACAGTCCAACAGGTGATCGATACTTTGGTTTATTCAGACTCTGCAGAGTAATTATTTTATGAAGAATACGCTCACAGTTTGAAATGATACCTTTAGCTCGAATAATGAGGAGAATCTTTAAAATTATAAATCTATAAATAGATCGATAGTAAGAGAAGGGGGCGTGTCCCTCAGACAGCAACATCTGGTGCTTACTTTGTGAAACAATCCTATCCTCCTGAGTGGATTAGCACACAAAGGTGGAAATTGGCGCTAGATAAAAAGATAAGCCTATTTTCTACAATGTCTCCAAGTTTTATCTTATTCTAACCACTTGTTTGCATGTAACTAATATTTTTGTATATCATGTTGGTTTTTTTTTTTTGCGTTAATGCCCAGGAGCTCAGGTATAGGGGACAGTTAGGTTCAGGGCCTCAGGTCAGGTAGGGTTAAAGAGATGATACAGTCGTCTATTATGGATATTGAAGAGATTATACTTTAATCATTAAAAGATATTCAAAAGATTAAATTTTATCTGGATAAAAGATATTGTACATATCATACTTTTAATCTCTTGTTAAGTTAGTTGCATATCCTTTACAGGAAGTTGCAGAACCAGCCATTGCATTTGTCTCTTTGGCTGTTTGTGATTTTACTAGACAATTTTACTTTTAGGAGTTTACCATTACTTGTGAACTGTCAGCTCACGATACCTCTGTCGAAACCACTGCAAGACAGTCTGCTACCAAACAGCCCACAGCTGGAAATTAAACCCAGCACCCAGGAGTTATGAAGCCTGTTCACAAAACCTAAGCCACAGATGCCAGTTTAATCTCCTCTAGAAAGTTCTTCCTCTTCTTCTCTTCTTCTTCTTCTTCTTCTTCTTCTTCTTCTTCTTCTTCTTCTTCTTCTTCTTCTTCTTCTTTCGCTCGCTTGAAAAAGATTATCTATATCTGCAATGTTGTCTCTAGTATAAACTTTATTGTCTTTTGTAATTCACTCAGCGACCCGTAAAGTTTGACTTGCAGTGGTGTTTCTCTGGGCCAAAAGTTTTGCCTTGATATGTTGTATTTAGGACAGTCTTGGAGGAAATGATGTGTTGTCTTAGGTGCCAATCCACATGTGCACATGGCTGATTCGCCGAATTTTAATTTTGTGTACATGTGGCTGCAAAGCCGATTGTGTCCTTTTCTAAGGTGTAGAATAATAACTTGTTCTGGTCTGTCCATAAAATGGTAATCGTCTTGTGCCGATTTTGGTGGCTTTTTGATTCATTTGATTATTCTCTTCTTTTGCTGATAAGAGACTGGTACGTCAGATTGTTCTTTATTTGCACCTTCCTTAGCTAGTTTATCAGCTCTTTTATTTCCTAAAACTACACAGTGGGATGGTATCCATTGCATAGTTACCTTACACCGACTGCCTAGTTTGGAGAGTAGTGTTCAAATAGCAGGTATTTTTTCCAGATTGGAGTTCCTAAAGCACTGCTCTTGCATCTGTCATAAATACCAGGGGTTGTGAAATATGATGTATATTTAACAGTTTTGTTGCTGCAATTTTGATGGCTTGTAGAAAGTGATAATTTGCTTCATATATGCTTTTTTCCTTCATTTGTAATTTTTTTTTTAAATTTGTGTGTGTGTGAGGATGGGCGGGTGGGTGGGTAGGTGTCATCATCTACTTAGTCCTGTTATCTCCAACTATGAAGGGCGTGAGGAAGTTTCAAAGGGGAAGGGTGGGTCAAGCAGTTTTGAAATCAGGTGCATTTTCACTTATAATAATCTTGATTTTCATCTTTAACTGTCATGAAAACAAAACTGCACTGCCAGCTTGATGTGGCGAGTGATCTCTGTTGTGCCTTGTCGAACATCGGACCAAAATATTATCAGATATCATCAAGACCAAACAGAGTCAAGCCATGACACTGATATTGGACACTAAATTACCACTCAGTGACTGTTTTTTTGTTGTTGTTGACACTTTCAGTTGTGTGCATGTTTGTTTTTTTCAAGCTCTTATTAACAGTACTTGGGATTTTTCTTTGTGTCCTCATTTCAATCACATTTTTATGTGTTGGGGAACGGGGGTCATGGTGGATCCTACTTATTATTCAAGAGGGCCCCACCTGAAAAGTGTATGATACATCATTGGAATTTGGCCAGTTTCCTTATATTAACAGTAATATCACTTGTATTTGATTCATTATTTCAGACATAAATTTCACTAGTTTGCTTTCTTAACTAACCTTAGTTGATGGGATCTTAACTTACTTGCAGGGCAAAATTCCATTTTCAAGGGTCAAAACGACCCAGCAACAAGTTTTCCAGGCAAATATCACACGGCAAATTATCAGAGACAATCAACAGGTCAAGAAAAGTAAAAGAGTGAGTATTGTTTTAGCTAGAATATTCCCTTCTTCATTTAGCTGCAAGCCCTTGCAAGTTATATCCTACAGATTGATAGGTATGTATGTATGTTTGTGTGTGTGTGTGTGTGTATATATATATATATATATATATATATATATATATATATATATATATATATATATATATATATATATGTGTGTGTGTGTGTATGTTTGTATATATATATATATATATGTGTGTGTGTGTGTGTGTGTGTGTGTGTATATGCATTTATATGTGTGTGTGTATATAAATATATATGTGTGTATATACATTTAAATTGATGCAGAAATAATATGACCCATCCTTTAAGTTGAGTGCAGGATAATTTCTACATTTCTGGATAGAAGACTGGTGCATTGAGAATATAGTACTAGACCAATAATTTTGTATGTTTCAGTCAGCACTCATTTGCTATGGCTCAACTCAGGGTGGCGCTTTTATGTCCCAGGACTTCACTTGGTACCTATGTTAGGTTAAGCTAGGTCAACCTGGGAGAAAGTGTCAATTTTCAAAATTGAAAAAAAACTGCCCCAAAATGAATTTGATCCTAAAACCTTTAGGCCGGCAGGTGAAAGTCAAGCCACTGTGGCTCCCACAAAAACCTATTTAACCTTCTTGCCACCGAAGCACTGTCAAAATAGGTCATGAAACCATTGAAATTCCAGGTAAAAATACATTGCATCTTTTTGATACAGACCAAAAGTAAATTTGTAAAAAATATTTATCTGCATTTGTTTTCAAATTATATAAAGATATGTTAGGGGAGTAATCAGAAAACCTGAAAAGGGTGCATTCAATGGAAGACATTCCCCGAGGCGAGAAAAAATAATTTTTCATTGGGTGACTCATGCCATAACCCCATGACCTCTGTCACAGGGGCTTAAGGAAAATTTGGCTTCAAATTGACTTTTAAAAAAGCTGATGACGTAAATAAGCGACAACTGCAGTCTAGCTTTTGAAAAGTTTTTTTTTTTGGGGGGGGGGGGGGGGAGGGGGCTGCATGGTCTCAAATGGTGCTCCTCTATTGCTAGAGGTCCCGGGTTCAAGGCTCAGTGAAGGCTAGGATTTTTTTGTCACGTGGATTTCTAGTAATTTCCCCTGGTCCTGGGTAGTGACAGGATGCCCATGTGTATTGTTGCGCACGTAAAAATAATCCCTTGGAAGTTAGAAACTGAAAAGAGTAGCCCGGGCAAATTTTTAGTTACAAATCTACCCAAAGTATTTCAGGATCCTGGCCTGTGCAACAGAGTTTGTGCACTGTGCTGAGAAGAAGAACAGAGCACTTACGATTTACCCTAGTGTGCCATGATGTTGATCCGTTGAATAAACATAAACATAAATCTTTTTTTTTTTTAAGAAAAAAAAAAGTTTTGTAAATGTTTAGTTGTATTTGTGCGCGTCTTTTCCATTTCCTGCGTTGATTTTTCAAGTAAAATGTTCTAATATGTGCTGTATTTGGTTCTCCGGTGATAAAGACTTTGATTGAAACATTTGGTTGTGTTGTCTTTTCCATTCCCTCTGTTGAGCTTTCTAGTTACATTTTGTGTTATATTTAACATTTTAAAAAGCTATTTGACTCAAAGGAAAACCAGCATATATGCTTTTTAATTAATGTATTCATATCCTGACCTCCTAAATATTTGTACAAGTGCCAGCATAGCATTAATTGTGTATCTCATAAATAATTCACTATAGACAAGTAGGAAAAATGACATTTATGGGAATTGGACTCAACCGGAACCGGCCTTTTTGCAGCTTCTCGGAGTAAACTCCGGTGGAAAGATGGTTGTTCATCCATCTGTGGACTTAAGTCTTATTTTGATCATGTGTGTTACGTGCACATCCATTTTACAGACCTGACTTATTTGTATGCAGATTGTTGGTTCTTTGCCTCTGAGGCAGATGCACTCCAACTTCGAAGGAAAGGGTTATACTATGATAGAGGGAAATATTTCTTTTTTTTTTAATGTGTGCAAATTATTTAATAAATGTCCATGAATATACTTGAAACATTTATAAGTACTTGTCACTGACAATAGTAGAGGTTTAATATAGAGATATAGTGTCCTCCTATTTTTGTTACTTTATTGTAAAGTATTTTGCTTTGTGAATGCCTACAGATATCTGTAAATATATTGATTGTGCTATATAAATGGCTTCAAAGCTTCCCCAATGAATAGTTTTTCTTTTTTTCTTTCATTTGCTTGAAATAGATCATCTGTATCTGCAATATTGTCTCTATTATGAACTTCAATGTCTTTTGTAATTCGCTCAGCCCCCCATAAAGTTTGGCTTGCATCGCTGTTTCTCTTGGCCAGAGGTTTTCCTTGATATGTTGTACTTGGGACAATCTTGGAGGAAATGATCTGTTGTCTTAGGCGTCAATCCACATATACACATATCTGATTCACCAGTCTTAAATTTGCTGTACATGTGGCTGCGAAGTCGATTATGTCCTGTTCTGAGGCATAGAATAATGACTCGCTCTAGTCTTTCCATAACAGGGTAATCATCTTATGCTGGCTTTGGTGGTTTTTGATTGTTTGATTTGAATAGTTTTGTTTTTCTCTTCTGTTTTTCTAGTTTGAACATTAAACGCCAAAATCAGCAGACTGGAGATTTTGCTAATCGCAGCACACATATCAAATTCTTTAGGGTAAGTTGCCAGTTTGTATTGTCAGTAGAAATTTCCTTGCTAAAAGATTTTGTTTTACATACAGATTGTGGAGAGATTAAAGTATTTTCAACACACACACACAAAAGATGAGCTTCTAGATTTACTGATAAGTCAGATCTTTACAATGGACGTGCAAAACTCGAATCCTGGAACAAGAGAAAAATCCAGAAGTTGACAAACAGCTAGAATGTTTCACCAGAGTTTATGGCAGAGAGCTTGAAGAAGGGCATGTGTGTTCATTAAGCTGTTTAAACTAGAGACTGGTAAATGTAACTTTTTAATTGGTTTGGACTTAATAGCTGATGAACTCTCTGTCTGCCTGTCCATCTTTCCTGTCTGTCCTGTCTCTGTGTGTCTGTCTGTCTCTCTATCTGTCTGTCCATCTGTCTGTCTCTCTTTGTCTTTTTTTTTTCTGTCTCTCTCACTTTCTCTCTCTCTCTCTCTCTCTCTCTCTCTCTCTCTCTCTCTCTCTCTCACTCTCTCTTACTCATTTAACCTCCTTCTCCTCCTTTCTCATCCATCTTCTCTTCCTCCTCCCCATCCTCCATTTTTTCTTCATATCACTCTGGATTTTTATGTTCACAGAATCAGTAATAATTATGTGACTAATTCAAACTTGTACGTTTCAGAACTCCTTGCAAGAACTTCAGCGAACCATGAATGAGGCATACCCTTACTTTGTGAGGTAACCCTGACAGTTTTGTTATTAGTAAATTCAAACTGAAACTAACAGATAACATGGTCTTCTATGACAGTAGTGGACAGATAACAGCGGTATTTTCTCTGCATATCTTGACTACGTTTGCTAATTCGTCATCATCATCCTAGGGTTCATATACATTTCAGTGCTCGTTTCATAATTCTTTGTCTGCTTTTCCTCTTAAAGTGTCTTAATACATTACTATCTTTGTTTTATAACTTTATTGCTTTAATATATTGCTATCTTTGTTTTATAACTTTACTGCATTGGTTGTCCAGATATTTCTATTTCCTTACCTTTCTTCAGTTCATCCCATTTCTTCTTCTTCTTCTTCTTCTTCTTCTTCTTCTTCTTCTTCTTCTTTGAGTTCAGTTTTGTATGCTCAGGTCAGACCATCAGGTGGGTTACCTCTCTGAACTCGAATATCAGCTGCAGGTCCTTCATGGCTTCCCATAGCTTGCTCTGCACACTTTGCTCTTGAGGCCAGGTCTCTTTTTGAAGTAAGTATAGTGGGCAGGTCTGCAGAATGTGCTCAGGTGTTTGAGGTCCTGTCTGACTGGCACACTGTGGGGACTTACAATCTTTATTTTATGCATGTGTTAGTTGAGCCTGCAGTGTCCAGTTAGTAGACGGAAAATTGTTGTACATCACTTTTTTCAGGCATTTGGATAATTACATTTATAAAAAAATCTGCATTTAATAACTGCCTTTACGGGCTCAATTTTCTTTCATTTATGGAGATCAAACTACAGAGACTGTTTGACTCATCATCGTCATTGTCTGTCGTGCTATTATTTGTCACATAGGGCGCGAAGTCTTCTATCTTGTGCCATCAGTTCAATATCATGGATGGAATCTAGTAGTCTAGCACCTTTGGCCTTTCTCATTAACGTTCATTTTAAGGTTTCTTTTGGGCGTCCTGGCTTCCTCAGTCTCTTATTTCCTTTCTTATTTTTATTTTTTGTAACAACAACAAAAACTTGTACAGGGTTGAGAAGCTGGCTCCAAACCCAAGCTTCCTTATTTCTCATCAGAGCTTAATACCAGCAGTGGCGGAGATTCATCAAGGCAGTCTATGAATCTGTTTGCTACCTGACTCAGTGAAAGTTAAATTCCAGATGTTGCTCACCTCAGTAAAGATTAAACTTCAAATGCTACTTCCTTTATAGTGATAAGACTTCAAATGTTGCCTGCATATATTGCTTTGCGGTTTACAGCTAGGCTGCAGTATCTGAAATTTTTAGCTTAACATATTTCTGCAAAACCTTAATTAGTCGCCTTTTATAACAAGCAGTAGGTTTGTTCTTTTTCTGCCAAAAGGAATTTTATAACCCACATGGAGACTTGCTTCTATATAAATCAAACTATTCTACTTTCCCTACAGAGATTTCTTTTAAAAACATATGTTCTCACCTGAGTAAAAGTTCTCTCTCTCTCTTTCTCTCTCTCTTTCTCTCTCTCTGTCTCTGTCTCTCTCACACACACACACACACACACACACACACACACACACACACACACACATACTCGCAAATGCACACACTCTAAACAATGGAATGAAAAAGCTAAATGAACATTTTCGTCCTACCAATACATTCAAGGAATATGTTGCTTGCTTGCCAAGGTTGGATGGACCCTAAAGCCCTGTCAGTTCTAAACCTAATTTTACTACTACTAGCAGTCTTTGTAATCTACTGAACCAGCTACAGTGCCATCAGGGCTTGTAGGATGCATACAAAATTTAATATTTTTATCATCAACCTAGTCAGTTGCTTTGCCGACTGGTATGTGAGATCATGTCTTCCCACATCTTGCAGTCTACAGAAGCATGTCTTCTTCTTATTGTTATTATTCTTCTTCACTTTCACTGGCTGTTAGCTCTAGGAGCAAGTTTTATTTGTTTATCCACCTCTGGACTTTAGACTTGTTCCAGAACATGAGTGTTGTGTGCACATCTGTTTTACAGATCTGACCATTGTATGCAGACAGTTGGTACTTGCTTCTCAGGCAGATGTACTCCGACTTCAAAGGAAACCCCCAATTAGTCAACTCTTATGGCATGCTTGTTGGGGAGGCATAGATCTATTTTTGTTTTCACCACAATGGGGCCATGGTACCCCCCACAGGAAACACACAGAAGCATGTATTAGATCATTCACTGCTGACACTCTTCCATGCTATGATCAAAGGCTGTCAAGAATCTGATCACCTTCACTTCCTCTACCTCTGTTTCTATAAATTGTTGTGGTAAGTTGTCATCATGAACATAGAATGGGATGAATTGTAATACAGTGAGGAGATCAGAGAATTGTCTGGACAAATACCTGTATCGACTGCAATAAGACCAAGAACGTGGAGATAGATTGGGCACACTCTGAGGTGAAATGAGTAAAGAAAAAACATGCACCAAAATGGGGAAACAAACGGTCTGAGAAAAAAAGAGGACGTTCAAGGCAAATATTTAGAAGCACATTACTACAAGAAGCTAAAAACACTAAACTGCATGTTAGAAATCGAGAAAGTTGCAGGCAGTAGAGCAGAGTGAAGGAATCCAATGCAAGCTCTATGTGATGTCTAAAGGCACACAAAGGATGATGATGATGATGTAATTGTGTCTTAACCTGTTTTAAAACATACACTGCTCATTTTGTACAAGGAATTTTAAAAATAAATGCTTTTATAAATTTCAAAACTTTTGGTTAATTAAAATGTAAAAAATTGTTAAGCCACTTCTGCTGTGTTTGCAGGTGTATAAAGCCAAATGACAAGCAGATGGCCTCAAAGTTCCAGAGAGACAGGGTGAAAAGCCAGCTGCAGTACAATGGTGTTGAAGAAGTTGCTAGGATCAGAACTTGTGGCTTCCTTTTCAGATATCCCAAAGAAGATTTCAAGAAACTGTGAGTTTATCATAGTTTTGTTTTTGTCAGTTGTTCAGATTTTTCGTCTTGTTCTTCTTCCTCTTCTTTATTCACCGGCTGTAAGCTCTGGCAGAAAGTCCTAGTTGTTCATCTATTTGGACTTTGGCTTTGTGCCAGGGCCTAAGTTTTGTGTACATCGATTTTACTGGCTTATTTGTGCATAGCTGCTTGAAGACAACTTATCACAAACATCAGAATGAGACAGTCGTCAGTTTTTGGTCATGTTATGAGAAGAAGGAAACCAGAACATGTTGTGGCCACTGGAAAGATCTGTGGGGAGAAGAAACAGAGGAAAACAATGCGAGTGGATTCTTGGCAGCCTTTTGTAAAAGCATGGAGGGGTGTAAACACACGAACTGATGCACGCTATTAAAAATTGATTGTGTTGAGGACATTGTCGCTCATGTCAGTTATCAAAGCATTTGATGATGATGATATTGGTTGAGCATTGATCACATTCTTTCTCTTCTGCCCTTAATGAATGAATCAATCTATCAATCAATCAATCAAGAATTGAAATCACTGCACTGAGTGCTTATCCACACCTGTTCTGTCCCCTTCCGCAACAAAGAGTTCCCAAACTGATTACACCAGTTTTCCTTTCTTTTTACTTGTGCATTGACAACCGTCTGGGGGGGGGGGGGGGGGGCTGCGTGGTCTCGAGGCATTGTGTCCACCTCGAGTGCTAGAGGTCTCAACTTCAATCTCCCATGAGGGCTGGGATTTTTTCACATGGACTTGGACTTTTAGTAATTTCCTTGGTCTCTGGGTAGTGAGATCAGACGCCCATGTGCATTGTTGCGCAGGTAAAAAATACTTGGCAGTCGGAAAAGAGTAGTCTAACGGCGCTGCCTGGGCGAAACTTTGAGTTGAAAGCCTACCCAAAGTATTTCAGAATCCTTGCCGGTGCTACAAAGCCTTTGCACTGTGCTGAGCTTCTTCAGACTCATACTTGAGTTAGAAGAAGAGCGGAGCACTTATGGGTTACTACCCGTGTGCCATGATGGTGGTCCGTTGTTCAAACTTCAAACTTCAAATAGTCCAAGCTGTCTTCCAACTCTCCACTGATTCAGTCTTTTGAAGTAGAGATACTCTGTCTGTTCTATTGCACTGTCTACTTGATCCCTTGATTATGAAAGAGTTACAGTTTAGAAATTTGCTCTACCTGTTCCTCTACATATCATTCATATTATGTTTATTGTTACCTAAAAATAACAAGCTTCATTGATAAAATACAATAGGGGCTGAAAAATAAGTGTTTGGAAGGGTTGAATGTAAGACAAGCCTGCTTGTCCAGTTTGTGAGCCTTTGAAAATAAAGTGTGTTCGTTCATTCATTTGTTGTTCTACTGTTGTGTACATTGCTGCCCAGATACATGTACACTTCTGTGAGTACTGGTCTCATTCGCTGTTATATCTACTTTGTTTCCAGGTATGAAAAGCTTGCCAGAGTTAACACATACTATGGGCCTGATCCTATACAGAACATTTTTCATGCGGTCCAACCTGACAAATCACAGTACAAGATTGGCAAGTCTCAGGTGCGTGGAAGCTTTTTGACAGATTCAGCTAAGTGTTTGGATGTATTCTTTCATTTTGGCTGATTGATTGGATATTTCAGCCTTACAGGCTTTCTTCTTCTTCCTCTTTATCTTCTGCTTTTATCCAAGAATGTAAATTTGTTGTGCCCATTTACAGCATGACTGTGAGATTTATGCTTTTCAGCCAACACATCCAATGTCTACAGGCACGTGTTGTCCATATCAGCCTTCACAGGCCTTGGAGAGTTTAATAAGTGATGCTATGATATTCCATGTGACCACTTTGAAATATCACCAGTATAATAATGTTAGGGGCACCACTTAATGAATGTTTGTAGTTTATGAGTAATTTGTAGTGCTAAATACAACATTTGATTGAAAAGGGATGGGGGGGGGGGGGCTGCGTGGTCTCAAGGCATGGCCTATTGCTGCGCACATAACAAATCCCTTGTCAGTTGAAAGGAAAATTTGGAGTTAAAAATCTACTCAAAGTATTTCAGGATCCTCACTGGTGCTTTGGAGTTTGTGCAGTGTGCTGAGATTCATCAAACTCAGGTTTGAGTCAGAAGTAGAACGAAATGCTTGTGGGTTACTACCCTTGTGACATGATGTTGACTCGTGGTCTAAACCTAAAACATAAACAACATGTAATACTTTACTCTGTTCTAGTCACAACTGGCAGTTTTAATTCACTGTAAAATTGTTATTTATGGGAAACAGTGTTCGTCTAAAATTGCCACGGGGTTAATGGTTTTACAGTGTAATAATGTACTTGTCTCACGTTCACTGCCATGGTACATTGGGCATTTTCATGCATGCTCAGTCCTCTGATAAAGCAGCAATCCAGAAGTACCTCTTCTGACTTTTCCCCATACAATGTGAGCTAAAATGTCCCCTATCTTGACCTTAAAGACAGCAGAAATATATGTCTTGTTACTCTACCAGTGAATCAGTTGCAATTTTCCCAGCCAAGGTTTGCTGATTAGAGCTTGAACAGAATAGGGGGACGAGGGGGGGGGGGGCGTCACAGTGGGTCTATTCCTTTTTCCCCCAAAATGGAGCTTCAGAACCCAACTGGGAGTTTTAAATATAGTATATACTCAACTTTCCTGCGAATTGAATGCTTTTGTGTTGAATCTCCACTGAGGCCAGGATTTGTTAAAATTTTGAGAGCATGCATCTTCCCTGTAGCAAAAAACAGATGTGAATTGGGGACCATCTTCCAGTCCTTAAGAAAGAAAAAAGGGGCTTTTGAGCTGAAGTGCTATAGAAAGATTCTCAGAATACCATGGACAAAGAAGAGACCTGATCTGCCAGGTCGACCAAGCCTAAAATACGTATTAGGAAATGTTTTGGGACATAAAGGACTGCATCACCGGTTGAGTGCCGATTTGTCTGTACAAAATATGGAGCGAGCATTCATATGCTGGGTCGACCTGGGAGCCAAGGTCATATTTGAAACAAATCCGGCTACTTTTAATTCTTGTAAAATAGTATTTCATGAATTTTCTTTTTTAGTAATATTAAATACTGAAATGGTGTCCTATTCAGGTGGTCCTCTCTCTCTCTCTCTCTCTCTCTCTCTCTCTCTCTCTCTCTCTCTCTCCTTCTCTCTCTCTCTTTGTCTGTCTCTCTCTCTGTCTCTCTCTGTCTCTCTGTCTGTCTGTCTCTCTGTCTCTCTCTCTGTCTCTCTCTCTGTTTCTCTCTCTGTCTCTCTCTCTCTCTCCCCTCCCGTCTCTCTCTCTCTCTTCTCCCTCTTTCTCTCTCGCTCTCTCTCTCCCCCGTCTCTCCCTCTCTCTCCCCATCTCTCCCCCTCCTATCTGTGTGTGTGTATTGGGGGTGTATATGGGTGTTTTATTTTTTATTTTTAACTTTCCTTTTTTTTTAATTTGTGAAATTCTCTTCTTAGATATTCATGAAGGATTCTGTGAAAAAGGCACTTGATGGTGAGCTGAAGAAGATAGATGATGAGGAAAGAAGGGCAGCAGAAGCAAAGAGGTTAGAAGAAGAAGAAGAAGCCAAGAGGCTTGAAGAAGAGGGAAAGAAATGGGAAAGAGAAGCGAAGGAACGAAAACAAGAAATTTATCAACAGGTAAATTGTGCTCAAGCTGAGAACGTATTTTAATTCATTGTTGCTGTTTTTTTTTTTTTATGTAGAGTTTTTTTTTTTTTTATATTAACTGTTCTTATTTATTTTTTATATAATTTCTCTTCTTCAGTGAAATAAAATAAAATCGAAAAAACAGAAATTAACTGTCTAAGATGAATCCTCAATGTAACTAGAAGAGACAGGATCAGAAATGACAATGTCCAGAAAGAATTTGGGATGCAACAAGTATTAAACTACATCAAGAGACAACAGATCAAATGGTTTGGAGATATGTCAAGACAACCACCAGACAGTGCTCCAGCGAGAGCCCCGTCACTCAAGACATTGTAGAAGGAGAGCCAGAGGTCGACAACACAAGCCATGGATAGATGTAATATCCAAAAAGGCCGTAAATACCAACATTTACATAGCACATACCAAGGCTTTCACTTAATACCTCTTCAAAATCTGATGCTAAAAGGCAATACAAGATTAGATTTTTTTTTTTAAAGAAAAAGAGAAGGAAAAGAAAAAAGAAGAAGAAAGGAATGTTGTTAGAATTATAAAACTAACCTTAAGCAAGCAAATAATCTTCTTGTTCTTCTTCACATTCACTGGCTCTAAACTCTGGTCAGAAAGTTCTGGTTGTTCTTCCACTTGTGGACTTGAGTCTTGTTTAAAAACTTGAATTTTGCGTGAACATCCATTTTACACATTTGGCTTACTTGTATGCAGACTGTTGGTTCCTCGCCTCTCAGGCAGATGCACTCTGACTTTGAAGAAAACAGTCCCTAATTAGTCACCTGTTATGACATGCTTGATAGGGAGTCAGTGGTTCCTTTGAAAAAAAATGGGCTCTTTTTTCCCCCAGGGAAACAAATTAGGCTCTGGACTTCCAACAAAAAAACAATTACTTGACAAAATAATGAATATACTTGAAAGCAAATAATCAATATACTTGAATGTTTTATTTTCTTTCTTTTACATTTCAGAGCTCATTTCTGACAAACAGTAGTCCTCCTTCATCCCTCACCACCATTAACTGAGGTACCCACTCCAGCGTCAAACGTGGATAGTTCTGTTTACAACACCTTGCCAGAATTATCCAGTAGCAGAGAGTATGCACAATGCTCTTTTAAATTATTTTATGTATATTTCTGTAAATGTTAATTTTAACAGTAACAGAAGATTTGTTAGAAGATCCTAAGGGAAGAGAATGAGATAAGAGTTCATACAGTCGGTGCTTTGCTGAACGTCGCTCTCAACACTGTCTGCCTGAAAGAAACTTAGTCTCTTGCTAGCTCTCCTGCCTTGTGTACTTTCATATTCAAGGAGTCACTTATATTCCGTGCCCATCTTCATGTTGGTTGACCTCTACCTCTCCTTCCTGGTCCCATGCCTTCTGCTATTATTTTTTTCAGTCCATCATGTCGCTTGATATGACCTAAAATATTTCAGCTTCTGAGACAAGAGGCTGCTTATTAGCCAATCTTCCTCGAGTTCAGATCTTTTAGAATGTCAGTATTTCTTCTCTTCTTTGTCCATGGTATTCTGATAATACTTTCTATAGCATTTCAGCTCAAAAGCCCTTTTTTCTTTCTTAAGGACTCAGAGATTGTCCACAACTCACATCTGTATTTTGCTACAGGAAAGATGCATGCTCTCAAAATTTTTTTTTTCCTTTCCTTGCTGGTGCTTAACTATAGACTTTTAATGTTGCTTAAGGAGATAATACCATGTGCAAATTATCTGAGGTTCGTTTCTCTGAAAAAGGTCAGATAGACAGTGAAGTGACCTATGGAGGAGCCAGAGTTTCTTAAAAAAGTAAAAGAATGATTCAATGTTTGGAGGTTTTCAGGAATAAATGATACCTCATGATACCTAACGAAAAGAGTTTAAGTTAAAATTGAGATGATCGAGATTATTGCAGCAGTTTATCCCTTGTAGCTTAGTCCCTCTTCTCCCCATAACAGCTCACCTGCCTAAAGCCTCAAACAAAACATGAACTACATGGCTCCAGAGATGATCCCTAAGGATTTCCATTAAACTGCAGATGTGAGCTGAACAATGCAATCTTGAAACAAGCCTAAGACATTCAGAGCATGAAGCAAACCACTGGACAACTTCACCATAGAGACCACCTTGGATATTCTTATCACATTAGGCCATGACAATTTTTGTCCAGGTGATGGGGTTTTGTATACATGATGACTCTGTGTTGACACCAGAAGAAGTGCATAGGGGATTATAGAAAACAGGAATGGATGCCACGAAGGGCAACAAAGTCTGGCATATTATACAATAGCATCCAGTTTGAGAATGGTGCATATGTGCACGTATCTGTATGTGAATAACCAACATGAGACAGAAGGGAATAATTATTAGTTTCATGTTATGTAAGTGTTAGAGAATTAGAGAAATATTCAAACGAGAAAGAAAAAGTGAACCAATTGAGTTGAGCTGATTCAAGAACCGACATCATATCACTCAGGGCATTCCCATAAGTGCTCCATCCCCATCTTCAGCAGCCAGCGTGGAGTTCCAGTACAAATGGTGCCAGTAGCATTCTGATTATATTTCCGTCTTGCCTTTCCTCTGAGCGTCGAGTATCGGCCAGAATTTTGCGTCACTTTCCGCCGCATCACTCTCACCAGACTGTGGTAATCCATTGCTCCTCCGAATAGTACATGCTGTCTCACAAGGCCCCTAACCATGTCTGCCTTCTCATGCATCAGTATTCCACCAAGTTGTGCAAAGCTAGCCAATCTGTCGGTGTGTTTATTTCCCAACACACCGGCATAACCTGGAGAAAATATCCAAACAATACTCCCCACCTGTGACCTCCACAGCGAAGCATGCCACTCTGCACAAAGCATGCCTGTCCTTTCCCTTTCTCAGCAGAGTGATTTAGAGAGAGAGAAAAATTATAATTACATTTTAATTTTACATTATTTCAGAAGTACTATTTCGACAACAGAGGAAGATGGTGAAGAGGAGGATGTGACAGAAGAAACACAGGAAGAGGACAAACAGCCGGAGGAGAAAATGAATGCGTATGTGTTATTTCTTGTAACTCTTTTAGTCATAGCCAGTTTTATTTTGTTTTTGAATGGCATCTGTCAGTCCCTTGAGAGTATGAAGATGTCCCGCTGACTTTGGGAACAACATCTGCTGTGACTGTAAAGACCAATGTGGAAGTGGCAGTCTCTCCCCAATAAGATGCACACAAAAAGTAGATACTCCCTCTCTAGTAGGCTGATTTACCCTCCGGATCACCTAAACCTGTTTGTTTAACTTTGCTGTTGTGGACAGGTGTAACTTTAACTAACCCACTTTCTTTGTTACTTCTTTAATTCCATAATTCCCGGAAAGTTATCGCTTTAAAGGCTAACCCGGGCAACAAATACCTGCAGACTTCAAATATTTCAGCTAAAAGTGGCAAATATCGTGGCCTTGCAGTAAATTAGCACAGCGCAGTTATATCCTCAAATGGACACAGAAAAAGAAATTTTTACTTTAACCTTTTCAGAACCAGCCGGTATTTATTGTAAAGTGAGAACTGCCTCAAAATAAAGAGTTAATATACATATATTAATATATATGTTACTGAGGCCCTCGTAGATAGCAAGAACAGAAACACTGCACTCTACCAGGCATGTCAGAAGAGATGACTATTGGTGGGGTTGGGCTTGGGTTTGCTTCTTACACCTTGCCTGGTAGGATGCAATTACTATTCTTTGCTTTCCATAAAGATCCTGGTAACACCTGGACTGAAATCTATAAGGGTGTGTGTGTTGGTTTGATTTGTGTATGTGACTCTGTGTGTGTTAGTATGTGTGAGTGTATGTGTGTGTGCATCTATGATTCTAGTGTGTGTTAGGGAGAGTATTTTGTTAATCAATGCATGATATTTTCAGTTTTGAAAACTGTTCTGTTTCCCAGAGCATGGGACATTACTCAAGAGCTGACTGAAGAGGAGGAACGACGAGATGTTCATGAACAGCCAATCTTGATGGTTTTGAAGTTCATTATCTACATTCTCCTCTTTGCTATTATTTTGGGTACCTTTACCATCCAGAAGGTAATTATCTTTGAATTGTATTGTCCCCATGTGAGTACCGGAGCCCCGTTGTGGGGGAAACAAGAATAGAACCCCTGCCTTCCCTATGAGCATGTCGTAAGAGTTGACTAGTTTGGGAGCTTCCTTCCTTCGAAGTCAGAGTACCTATGCCGGAGTGGCAATGAACAACCAACTGCACACAAATAAGTCGGTGAAAACAGATAGGTACACACGCAAAACTCAGACCCTGGCACAAAGCCAAAGTCCAAATGGATGAAAAACCAGGACTTTCGCCAGAGCTTACAGCCGGTTAACGAAGAAGAAGAAGAAGAATTTAATTATTATTCTTTTCTAAATATTAGCTATTATGGTCTGTATATTAGTCATTATGTTCCTTATATTAGTCATTCTGTTCTATATATTAGCTGTTTTGTTCTATATATTAAACAATATGATCTATGCATTAGCCAATCTGGTCTGTATATTAGCTAATCTGGTCTATATTGTTATCTCTCTCTCTCTCTCTCTCTCTCTCTCTATATATATATATATATATATATATATATATATATATATATATATATATATATATATATACATATATAAGCCAGTCATTTCTTTGTGTTATCCGCCAATGACCAAAAGAATGTAAACACAAACACTGAATGCTTACACAGGAGACTCTCAACTCAGTACACAAAGCTATATGTCATTGACAAGAATCCTGCAGACATCAAAACCGCAGAAAAATTACTCCCATGTTTGTAAAAACCAACAGAATCAATTTGCTGTGGTAACTAATGAATAGACTACATACCCTGCCTGGGTGTACCACTAGGAGCAACGAGACTCGAATACCATGCAGAAGCCACCGGTCAATACATCGCCTAGAGCAGAACTAGATCTTAGGCTAAAAGCACTTACAGATCAGACAAGATTGGAGCACCTTTTGTTATGTCTGATGTGTGACAGAGATAATTGTTTGATGAACAATGAACAGTTTTCCTAACGTTAGCCACGCTTTGATAGAAAACTTTTAATAATCATGTTCCCAAACTTCATAAATATTTCAGAGAGTAATAGCCGTCTTATATTGTTTTTATATAAATGTCTTATTTCTTTTTGCATGCTAGGTTAGCTTTCTGTTGCTTGTCAAAGAAATTGCTCCTGTCACTGCAAATAGCAATATCAAGATGCAAAAACATTTTCAGGTAGAGTAGTTTCTATCCTATTTTTTTAGTCACATTATGTCATTTATTTAGTAGTTTCTTATTTTTCTGTTTATCTTTTATCTGTTGATACAGTATCATGCTGCCCCCCTCTTTGACAATACATCACACAAAGACAATATTATTCAAAGCAGTATTCTCTTCTTTGTCTAGCCTTTTGTATGTGTTAAACTTCCTAGTCATATTTTGCTCCATGTTTTTTTAGTTTGCAGTTATAGCTACATTGCAGGGAAAATGAGAATAGACCCACTGTTTACACACACAAAAACCCCAAAAATCATGTTGTTAAGTATTGACTAATTGAGAGCTTCCTTCAAATGAAGCATCTGCCTGAGCAGCAAGCAGCTGCGCACAAAACGAAAAAGCATCCAGTTTAAATTGGATGAGAGCTTACATGCAAAACCTGCCCTGAAGGCCCTATCAAAAGCTGAAGTCTCAGCCCTATACAAAGCAACGGCCAGGACAAACAGCCAGGACTTTCTGCCAGAGCTTACAGCCAGTGAACAAATAAGAAAAACAAAATAAAAAGACTTGAAACTACACTAAAGGAGTTTAAGTAACAACCCTATAGAACATAAACAGCTGGAGAAACGATTGGGACATGATGGGTTAATAACATAACTGGGTGGGACATAGGAAATATGAAAAGCGTATATTGAGTGGCGTTGGTAATTAATGCAGTTTGAGCTCTATGGTACAGACTGAGTTCAGAAACCAAATACATTAGTCTTTAGCTGTGTTGTTCAGGGGATATTAATCAACCTGCTAATGGTGCAGTTTGCCATTGGAACTCTGGACTGGCTGCTGAAGGTGAGGATGGAGCACTTATGGGAATGTTTCAAGTGCTATGATATCAGTTCTTAACGCACCTCAAGTCAGCTCGGTTTAAGTGTTGCTAAAAATGTTCACTTGTGTTTTTTTTATTTTTTTTTCATAATATTAAATTATGTCTTATTTTGTCAATTATACATTGATTACATTTAATTTACAAGAAGTAAAAAGTAGAGGTCCCTTTACCTGCCAGTGTCGTATTAGGCATACACGTGCTAGACATATTTTCGTAGACCAGTCGGCCCTCAATGGGTCATGGCTTGCTGCTAAAGATGCGGACAGAGCATTTATGGAAGTGTCCTGAGTGCTGTGATGTGGTTTCTTATTCAACAACAACAACCATTTAAAGCTTTGTTGACCCAGAAGCCAAAGTCAAGTATTAAAACAATCCGGTTCCGTGCAGATTTTAACCCATAACCTTTGAATCCGCAGGTGATCATCTATCTGCGACACCATTATGGTTCCCTTAATTTACATATCCCTTTCAAACTTTATTTTTTATTTCAGACTGTAGCCTACATCCTGTTAATAATCGCCATATGTGTTCCCTACGCTCTCGGCTGGCTGGTAACAGTGGCCAAGCTTTGTTTTGGAAATTTCAAGAGGCCATCACTTCCTACGTGGATATGGGTAAGAAACTGTTTGAATGTCCGGTAGATCCAATCACAATTTACTTGCTACAGAGAATGCAAAGAATATCATGGGGGTGACATAAAAACTAATGAAACAGTCCTTATCAAGACAGATGAAATTCAGAAACCTATTAGAACAATTAGACATAGACTGTCTGTGTGTGTGTGGGAGCATGTTATGAGAAGGAATAGGCTCAAGAACTTGATAACAACTGACCAGAGTGATGGAAAGTAAGCAGGAGGAGGGCAAAAAGCTAAAAACCTGGTGTCTTGACCACATGGATGGGGCAAGACAAGAGCAGTTACATGATCCTTGATTCTGGTGTCTGAGTGAGATGGCAAAACATGACAGCCTACTTTTACTGGTATGACACATCATGACGATGAAATCTGATCCTAATGTTCATCTCAGCAAAGACCTTTGTAACAGTGTTCTAATATATATGGTATAATAAAGTAATCACGGCAGATATTAATGAGCATCATTTTATCACAGTGAACATAGAGGCTTTGCTGAGAGTAACAAGAAGTATTTCTCATCAGGTGATGCTCCCCTCACAGTTATCTCCTTTTTTTTTTTGTTGCTCCCCCTCCACCCCACACACACACACACACTCCCTGCACACACACACCACACACACACACCCACCCACCCACACACACACACACACACACACACACACACACACACACACACGTACAGAGAGAAAGATAGAGAATCTGGTCATTGATTGTTAGTCGAGGCTCCAACTTCACTGCAGAGAGGTTGCCCCATGACTGCACCATTCCTGTGCAAGTGGATATCACACAAAATATCCTTGACTGTCACATTTGTAGTAATAAACATATCAGTCGCAGCAAAATATCAAAGCCTGCACATGCAGCATAAATACATAAGGCAGCTGTCACATCTGCTAACACTAACAGTGCCACCTGTGTCTGGTGCATATTTCTATGTAAGTATGACTTCTCTGCACTAGGCCATAACGTAATTTGCAACCACCACACATGTCTTTGATATTGTCACAATAGTCTGTGATGTAATTGAAATTTCTGTATTTTTTCACCTTCCCTTAATGGTTTTTGACACAATTTGCAGTTTTCATATGTGTGTCTTTCCTCCGTTCTCCAGCAGAAATCTGTAAAACAGCATACTGTTTCAAAATAACAATAAAATATGTACTCCCTACCCTCCCCCACTCCCACAACAGACATGAAATATTTACCTACTGTTCTTGGTGTAACGAAGAAATATCAATTTAGGAACAATGATATCAGGTGTAGATTCGACGCAGAACCAATGCTGAACTTTATAGGGAGACCACAAATCAAATGGTTTGGCCATGTAACCAGACTGGCATCAGACAGGGCCCCAGAGAGAGCAATGTTATACCGATACAATGGTAACTGAGCCACAGTTTGACCACGCATTCTAGGAGTAGAAGAAGAAGAAGTCTGTCCTTTTCAGAATGTTGCAGAACCTGTCCCAGCATTTCTTTTGGCTGTTTGGGGTTACTAACCAGTTTTACATTCAACCGTTTGTTTCTTGTTTTCAGTTTTCTTAATGGTCTCTGTACCGTTACCGAAATCAGTGCTTAGCAATCTGCTGTCAGATCACTCTTAGCTGGAATCACACCAAGTATCTCAGAAATTGAAGTGCATTTGCAGTGTTCGAGCCACATATGTTGACTGACTTGAATCCTTTACAGAAGTCCACTGTGCGTGGAGTCACCTTTATTTTTGTTCCGGGATACGCAGGCATCAATGGAAATAAAAGAGCTGATAGGTTGGTTGAATCCGCTATCACTACCGACGGTCAGCTTACGGGTCATGCTGATATTATTAATGCCCCCAGAGAAATGGGAAGGATAGAGGACTTTGAGGGCAGTGAATCCACATCACTCGCCAAAATGGCAGACTTGGGAATTAAGATCGGCATAGCAAAAAACAAGATGCACACCAGACACACCAGAAGACTTGTTAATCAACATAGAACTGGTACTATTAGCCATCGGATGTTAAGGTTCATACTGAGGGAAGGATCTGAGCACCTATAGACATGTCCGGAGTGCTATGATGATAACCCAACTAACTAACGAAAATGTTGACTGACACAATGTGCAGTCCTCACATCTGCCTGTCTTCCGCTTCCTTACAAAAGTATGTAGTATAACATTTGATTCCCACATGAGTGCATCTCCCCCTCCCAAAACGTAGCATACAAAACCATAAACATTTATTTATGTGTTATCTTCCCCAGGTTTTTGTTCTAGAAAACCTGCATACAGTGGGCCTGTGTTTGCTGGTCTTTCGAATCCTCCGCCACCTTGATGTCATCAGGGCAGCCATGCTGCTCAGTGGCACCGCCATCATCCCTGCCATCTTGAAATCAACGCTGGCCAGCTCAAACTACAACATCAAGGGTGGACTCTGTGTGCAGTGTGACTCCCATGGACTGGCCAAACAGATCATAAGGCATGTCCTAGACACCCTGGCTATGCTAGTGCAGGTTTCAGTGATCCCTCTTGTCCTTCTCATGGATTACTTCACAACTGGTGAGCACAACTGATGTCTTATCTCTTTGATCCCATGAATCAACTCATTCAGAACCGACCAGCTCAAAAGTAAAGTAAAGGACCTTGTTCCACGCCTTCAGGCGTTCTGGGCATATTGGGCTATTCCTACATTTTATAGACCAATTGGCACTGAGTGGGTGATGTAGCCAGCATTAGGTTGGCCACCTTTACTTCCCAGGACTTTATCTGGTATCCACTCAAGGCTGGGTTGCCCTGAGAGCCAAGGTCATTTGAAAAAAAAAAAAAGTTCAGCCCCGCCATGACCCGAACCCACAGCCTTTCGATCCACAGGTGAGTGCCTGACTACTACACCATGGCAACTAACTCTGTGTATTTATTGATACCTCTTTATTTGATCTGGTTTGGTAGCTTAGAAGTTAGTGAGTTAATTTTACAATTTAATCTTCAATGTTTACCAGGGTTCACAGCAGTGGGTGGGGTTTTTTTTTTTGGGGGGGGGGGGGGGGGGGGCTTTTTTGGGGCTTTCAGATAGTGGTGACAGATCAAACAGTGGTGTGGCTTTCAGACAGTGGTGACAGATCAAACAGTGGTATGGCTTTCAGATAGTGGTGACAGATCAAAGAGTGGTGTGGCTTTCAGACAGTGGTGACAGATCAAACAGTGGTGTGGCTTTCAGACAGTGGTGACAGATCAAACAGGGGTGTGGCTTTCAGACAGTGGTGACAGATCAAACAGTGATGTGGCTTTCAGACAGTGGTGACAGATCAAACAATGGTGTGGCTTTCAGACAGTGGTGACAGATCAAACAGTGGTGTGGCTTTCTGACAGTGGTGACAGATCAAACAGTGGTGTGGCTTTCAGACAGTGGTGACATATCAAACAGGGCTGTGGCTTTCAGATAGTGGTGACAGAACAGACAGGGATGTGGCTTTCAGACAGTGGTGACAGATCAAACGAGTGGTGTCGGAAGAGAACTGTGAGTTCCAATACTGATGGTACCAGTCACAATCTAGTGATAGTCCGTCTTGCCTTTCCTCCGAGTGTAGTGAGCCGGCCAGACCCTCTGGTTACAACCAGGTGCCTCATTCTCTCCAGGCCATAATAATCTTCTTTCTCTACTGATTCCATTGCTTGTACCTAAAGGGCCTTGACCACATCTGCCTTGTCATGAATCAATTCACCACCCAGAGGTGCAGATACAGCCAATCTATCTGCCTGTTTATTACCTACCACGCCGGCATACCCTGGAGAAAATATCCAAAGTTTGCTCACTACCCGTGATCTTATCAGTGAAGCTTGCCACTCTGCTCAAGGCATCCATGTCTTCACCTTCCTCAGCATGCTTTCTGAGTCTGTTACAATTACGACATGTGTATGCATCTTGTTCTCAAGCCGCCGGAGAGCTGAAGTTGCCGCCTCCACCTCCATTATCATGCTAGATGTTGTGGTGTCATATGCTAGGCTGTCTAAAGATTTTCCACTAGAGGGATAGACATTCTGTGAGGCTTTTGCTAGCCAAGAAACGGAGCAGCTATAGGATGACCCATTTGTTATGAAGTTGAAACTGTGTTTACCTGATTACTGAACTTTTTCATTTTGCAGAATCTGAAAAATTTGCATCAGATCCATGGCGTGTAGTGGAACTGGTCACATCATTCATCCTAGTGTCAGTTTCTCAGTGGGAGAACTTTACAGACGGAAGATTTTTCTGTGAGCTGAATGAGAAAAACTGGTTTAAAAATGCAATTCTAAAAATTAGATATGAATTGCAAATAGGTCGGCATTATCCGTATCTGGTTACTTATTTGTGGAAAATTGGACTTACTGTGCTTTTGGTAAGCTGATGTTTTGAGTGTGTTGTATTGTGTTTATACCAGTGATACTGTGCTTTGATAAGTTGATGTTTTGAGTCTGTTGTTGTATTGTGCTTATACCAGTGTTAGTGTGCTTCAGTAAGTTGATGTCTTCAATCTGTTGTATTGTGTTTATACCAGTGATAGTGTGCTTTTGGTAAGTTGATGTTCTGAGTCTGTTTTTATTGTGTTGATACCAGTGTTATCCTTTTCAACCCTTCTACTCACTTTTGAGTTCTGAAGCTTTGTGTTGGATTATTTACAACCCCCTCCCCCAAGCATGTCATAGAAGGCGACTAACTAGGGGTGTTTCTTACATAGTCTGAGTGCATCTGCCTGAGAGGCAAGGAATCAGCAGTCTGCTTACAAATAAGCTCTTCCCAATGGATGTGCATCAGGCGGTTACAACATTGGGCTTTCATGCAGGAGACACAGGGTTCAACTCCAGATAAGATGATGGAGTTATTTTGTCGGGGAGGGGGGGAATTGAACAACATAACCTGTAAAGTCCGTGTCAACATCACTAGCCCTGTGGCCCTAAATCCTCAGGCTCACGACCCCCATGCGCTAACAATTGATAAATATGGACAGCAGTGACAGTTGTTGTTTTTTTTTAATGCCAACCTCAAGTTCTGAATCAAGACCAAAATCAAGGAGTGGACAAACAACCAGAAATTTCCACCAGGGTTTACAGTCAATGAACTTTAAGAAGAAGAAGAATCCTTCTGAATTATAATTGGGATATATAAGGCCTCCTGTTATTTCAGAGGATCTAGTGGTTTAGGCATTGCGATCATGCTTCATAATTCTAGAAAAACCAACTTCACATTAGCTGTAGGTGATTTGTCAGCATTGCTTTCAGCTGTGGTATAGAGTGCCGACCATTGAGAAAGCAGTGGCAAACTACTGAACCTCAAACTGTCTTGTAAAACCTCAAAATAGCCAAAGAATGCAGGAGTTGGTTCTACTGTGACATATAAAGAGTTCACATGGGACCGTGTTTATTGCAGTCATTTATTGGAGGCACCCCTCTTCCCTCATCCAAACATCAGCATTGCTCTTGCCATTCTATTTTTATGCCAGAATGCTAATCTGATGCAGGCTTCATAATGATAAAACTATGAAAATTGTACTGTTAGAGTCTGTGACATATCTAACATTACTGTTGCAACACTCTGTGACATATCTAATTTCACTGTTGCAACAATCTGTGTCATATCTAACATTACTGTTGCAACACTCTGTGACATATCTAACATTACTGTTACAACACTCTGTGACATATCTAACATTACTGTTGCAGCACTCTCTGACATATCTAACATTACTGTTGCAACACTGTGACATACCTAATTTCACTGTTGCAACACTCTGTGACATATCTAACATTACTGTTGCAACACTCTGTGACATATCTAACATTACTGTTGCAACACTCTGTGACATATCTAATTTCACTGTTGCAACATTCTGTGACATATCTAACATTACTGTTGCAACACTCTGTGACATCTTTAACATTACTGTTGCAACACTCTGTGACATATCTAACATTACTGTTACAACAATCTGTAACATATCTAACATTACTGTTGCAATCATCTGTGACATATATAACATTACTGTTGCAACAATCTGTAACATGTCTATAATTATTGTTGCAACAATCTGTGACATATCTAACATTACTTTTTTCAACCATCTGTGACATTTTTTACATTACTGTTGCAAAACTCTGTGACATATCTAACAGTACTGTTGCAACGATCTGTAACATGTCTATAATTATTGTTGCAACAATCAGTGACATATCTAACATTACTTTTTTCAACCATCTGTGACATTTATTACATTACTGTTGCAAAACTCTGTGACATATCTAACATTACTGTTAAAACACTCTGTGACATATCTTATTTCACTGTTGCAACAATCTGTGACATATATAACATTACTGTTGCAATCATCTGTGAAATATCTGACCATACTGTTGCAGTAATATAACTTTACTGTTGCAACAATCTAAACATATATAAAACCATTTTTGTAACAATACTTGACATACCTAAAATTACTATTGTCACTATCAGTGAGAAATTTAACATTGCTGTTGCAACAATATGTGATATTTGTAACATTACTATTGCAACAGTCTGCCACATAAAATCCAGTAAATGAAAAACCTTTTTTTTTTTTTAACTTATTTGCACAGCAGCATGCTATCTGGTCCACATTTTTTTTTCAGACCAATCAGCACTTAATTGGTGATGTTTTCAGTATCCTGCTGACCGCCTTTACTTTCCCAGACATTGTCCTTTTCACATTTTAGACTGGGTCAACCTGGAAGCCAAGGTCATTTCATTAATTTATTTTTTTCAATTCCACAGTCTGTGATGTGATTAACTGTTCATTTCCTAGAAACTAATCTACTGAACTGTGACTAACAAAAGAGGGAAGAGGAACAACATACACATACAAAACAAACACATTTATTTCCTGCTTTTATTTCATTTTATTCTATCTGTTATTGTTACTATCTGTGGATCATTCATAATTTTAATTCTACCACTTTTATTATCACTATTGGCATTATTGATGCTGTTACTCCCACCACTGCTACGACTGTTATTCCTAATACTCCTCCTTTTCTTAATTACTATTATTATTAATATTATTTTAACTATTTATGCTTCTTCATTTCTTTTATTCATTTCACAGCTTTTCCTCTTCCTATATTTTATAGTTATTCAGGTGACCCCACTGTGAAGGGACTGATGGCCTGGATAATCTTTTTTTGTTTTTGGTTATATCGAGAAAGGCTGCAGCCTTTATACTTTGCTCCCCCAATTCATTGGGTTAATTGTTGGGGTATTAGCTTGATTGCTGTCACCCCTGTTTTCATCAGTTTCTGTTTATTTCCAGGCCTATTTGCTCAGTGATGACATCAGTTTCAGCTACATTGAAGCCTTCAAGAAGTTGCATTTGGGGAAGAATAAGACAGAGCTGAAAGCTGTTTCCGCAGTCATAGCACTGACCATAGCGGGTAAGTATGAGTTTGTACAGACCGATTGTGTTGCTTAGATTTTAGATATAAGATTGGATTGTTTAGATTTGAGATCTTAGACTGAAGTTTTTGGTTTAACTTTAGATCTTAGATTTGAATTTAGATTTTAGATCATTGATGAATTGTTGATTTTGTTTCTAACAAAGATAGGCTGTTTTAGATCATGGACACATTGCTGTTTAGATTTTAGATCTTAGACTGGGGTTGTTTGTTAGATTGTTTTAACTAGTCTGGGGTTTTTGCTTAGATTTTATAACTCAGACTAGGACTGTTTTATTTTGATTTATTTTTGCCGTTTAACATGTTTGTCTTCATCTGATTTTCAGGTTCTTTTTACGTTTTTTGCCCCAAACAAACCATGGTTGACCTTTCATTCATGCTTGGAGACCTGTCACATGGGCTAGTCTATTTTATGGGGGTGTCACGTCATGTTTTCTCCAATTCTGTCACCAGCGATGTCGTGTGTTCTATATTAAACGATGTCACCGCTTTTAACGACTACACAACATGTACAACTGGCCCTAACCCCAACCCCCTTACTCCACAGCCTCAGCCTATGTCCCAGGAGAGAGTGCAGCCTATGACCCATGGTTTCAGAGATGTTAACATTTTGTAATGATTATTAGAACAGTGTCTGGCTGATGGCAAAATGCCGTGTTGCTGTATAAAAGCAACGCTTCTCTCCTGGTCTCAGTCAACTCTGACAGCTCAAGTGAATTCATGTCGTACTTGAAAGTCTGAGAAAGCTATAATATACACAGTGTCGCCAGCCAGTCACAACAACGAGTAAAACACTCCATTGAAAGCTTCACAAAGACACCAACATCTGACACCCCTCTAACATAGACTAGCCCGTATGACAAGTCAGCAAGCATGAATAAAAGGTCAACCAGTTTATTTTGGGCAAAAAATGTCAAAAGTTAAGATTTTCATTACTCATAAATTCTTTTTTAATATTTCTACAGCATTTGTTTCCTTTTACGTGTCGTTTGGTGCCTGCATGTTCCAAATGCAGTTTGTATCAATGACAATCCCAGCCTGTTTGGCTACCCCAGCAGCAATCGGAATATTTTACCTGAACTGTCACCATCAGTTTCTGGATGTTGTTACAGACTTTACAGCCAAATGTCCCTCAGATTTGCTTACCGATCACTGGTACCATTTTCTGTTTGGCGCTGCCTGGTGGCTCTCCTTCTTGGTAGTGACCAGGCATATATGGAGACCTCAGGTTGACAGAACTGCCAATATGGCAAGGTGAGTAGCAGCAGTGGTAATAATTTCAACAGTTGATTTCCTATTCAACCTATCTAGTTTATAATGTTGACGTGTCAGTACTACTACAAGATAGTGCACCAGAGAGAGCTCTTTCACTTAGACAAAATGGAAGCAGATCTAGATGTCAACATCGCAAATGATGGATAGATGGAATATTCAAGGTTATAAATACCAATATATGTAGCACATACCCGATACCTCTTCAAAGCCTGTTGCTGACAGGCTGAACAAAACTAGAGCAGAAGAAGAAGAATTTTTTTTTAAAATTTTAATCTGAGTTTGAGTTTAAAATATACAACAGTGTCTGTAATATATATCATAAGTCTTTGTGGCCGAGTGCTTAAACTGTTTGCCTTGCATTCTGAATATTGTGGGTTGGTTTTGAACTCCGTCACTAGGTTCTCAGGTGTGATTGTTTTAGAGACCTCTGTGTGTTGTTGCTTAGAGCTGCAGGGTTTGTTTAAGATATTGAAGTGCGAGGATTTAGTACTATGTAGAGATGTTAATAACTCCTTGAGCAGATCAAATGAGTAATGAAGAGATTTTCAGCAAGACCTTTTTTCCCCTTTCCTCGTCTTCTACTTCTTGAGCGTGCCAGTTATCTCGCAGATAAAACAGTTACCATGACTGGCACAGTTCTGGACAGAAATGATGTCCTTAATGCCATGGGAGCTGTATGTCACAGAGAAGATCACCACAACAAGCAGGACTCAGTATCCTTGTCCAGGTTGGTAGACATGGGAGTGCAGCCTGGAGTAGCAGGATACGGACATTTCAACAAGGGCACATAGAATCAACATAGAACCCTATGATCAGTTATTTTGTTCTTGTGGAGTTATTGAGAAAGAGATAAGAGCACGTATAGATCTGCCCAGAGTGCTGTGATGATATTCTTACTAATCAGTTCTCGGTCCTCCTCTTCCTATCTTATTCTTATATTTTTTCCTCCTTTTTTTTCTCCACCTCATTTTATTCTTCCTCCTTGCTGTCTTCTTTCTTCTTCTTCCTTCACCTCCTTTTTTCTTCTCCTTACCCTTACCCTCCCCCTCCCACACAGTTCCTCCTGCTCTTCCTTCCTCTGATGGGTAATGTGGTCAGCATTACGCCGGCCGTCTTTACTTCCCCAGGACAGCCATCCTGGTACCCATTTTAGGCGCCCCATACTATGATAAAAATCCATGCAGCCCGCAGTGGGTTTCGATCGCGGTACGTTGGATTACGAGTCGGACTCGCAACGCCTAAGCCACGGACGCCACTGTAAGGACTGTATGTGTGCTTTAATAAGCCTTAACATTTATGTTAATTCTTTCCAGAGTATTTCTGAACCCGGTCTACTGCGGTATCCTGACAACAGAATCTGTCATGCTGAACCGAAGGAGACATCCCTGCAGGGTTTTTAAAGAGCCACAAATCGATGATAATGGAGAGATTTTGGCCATGTTTTATAAAGTAAGTATCCTACCACAGCCACTTGATTCTGTGTGATAAGATACAACCAGCTAGGATTGATTGTAACTGAAGGCAGTCCTGATCCTGTTAAATAATCAAAGCAACGTTTCCCCATTGTAACTTTGAACAAAGAAGACACAATCAACAGATTGCACAGTTTATTGCCTGCCATATGATAAAGTTTTTGAAAGATGTAGAAAAGATGCTTAAGTCAGATAGAACACACGCTGAGAAAACCTAAAAACAATATCACAAGTATGTTTTTTGCACTCTGAATTCAAAGGGCACTGCCCTGATTTGTCACCTCGTATGTCGTGCTTATTAGGGAGGCAGTGGAACTATTCTTGTTTCCCCAAGAATCGGGCCCTAGAAGCATACTTTGGATCCTTTCTCAAAGCAGTACCGGTGTAGTGGGTAATAAACAGGCAGATAGATTGGCTGCATCTGCACCACCGGGTGGTGAATTGATTCATGACAAGGCAGATGTGGTCAAGCCCTTTGGCAACAAGCATTGAAATCAGTAGAGAAACCAAATTATTATGGCCTGGACAGAATGAGGCACCTGGGTGTAAACAGAGGGTCTGGCCGGCTCTCTACACTCAGAGCAAAGGCAAGAAGGACATATAACCAGATTGTGACTGGTACTATCAGCACTGAAACTCTGCGCTGGCTGCTGAAGATGAGGACGAAGTACACATGGGAATGCCCCGAGTGCTGTGATGTCAATTCTTGACTCAACTCGGGCCCCAGAACTCACATGGGGAGGCAAGGAACCTGACTGTGATGGTTATGATGATCTAGTACAACTGTACTACCACTACTAATCAAGGTCATATGATACAGTCAACAGTTTTCATAACAGTAGGCACCTAGGCTATAATCACAGAGATCCCCAGTTTGTGTGTGTTTGAGTATGTTGTGTGAATCAGTGTTGTGTGTATGCTTACATTTTTATCTTTATATGTAATAAACAAACGGACAATGTATTGATTGGCTCTCATAGAAAGAATTAGAAAGATAGAAGGATTCACTAGACAACATAATAGTTGAAAGCTATAGTTACTATGCCGAGAATTGAACCTGCCACTTACAAATGACATATGTGCCTTGCTACGGAAACAAGTGTACTAGCACCCCTAATAAAGGTATCTTCAGTGACCAGATCTGTCATACAGCTTGAAATCCACAACCATAAAATGTGGACAAAATTTGTCTCAAATCATTGAAATAGCACCATGGGTTACAGACATTTATATTAACCGAAGCATAGATCAAATAACAAACACAACAATTATAAACATCTATGCGTGCCGATCAATTTATTGTCCATTTGTTTATTACATATAATGTTTCTGGGATCTCAAGGTTCTCCCTCTGTTTATTCTTTTTCTCGTCCCCCTTGTACCTCATCGAAGTGTCGGGGGGAGATGTAACATTCCTTGATGAGCTCTGTCAAGAATACTATTAGGACTGATGTTCATTTCTGTAAGGCTGTTCAAAATGCCATCACTCCATATTTTCCAAGGTCTTCCACTCGCTCTATACCCATTGTAACGTTTAAGTGTGGCTCGCTGGGGCAGATAGTACCAGGGCATTCTTGTTAGGTGTGCAAACCACTTTATTTGTTGTTCTTTGATGACCTGTGAGACTGGCTTTATTCCTAGCATTCGTCTGATTTCGTGATTCCAGATTCTGTCTTTCCTTGAACTCCTGGAGCTCTTCTAAGGCATTTCATCTCTGTTGTCGCAATTGTACATTCATTGGAGGATGTAAGTGTCCATGTTTGGCACTGATAGCATAGTGTTGGCTAAAAAAAACCAGTTCTGATAAGATTCACTTTAGTACTACGGAGTATCTGCTTGTGTGTCAACAGGGGAGATAGTTGCCCCATTACCTGATTAGCTTTGGCACATTCCAAGCTAATTTCTCAGTCCCTCTGTTTATTTAAATATTTTGCCTACATTTTAACTAACAGAAGAAATAACAAATGGTTGTATTTGAAATGCTGTAAACATCTTATCACCAGCTGCGGGGAATGAACAAACTAAGTGGGGAAAGTGATGATGATGATGATGATGAAGAAGAGAAGGAGATGGTGGGCGCGGATGAAGAGACACCGACAGAGGGCAAGAAAAGTGATGTACACCCAGCAACTCCAATGCTGTATGCCTGTGCTACTATGTGGCATGAAACAAGAAATGAAATGGTTCAGCTTCTCAAGTCTTTGCACAGGTTTGTTTCATTAACTCTCAGTCCCATGTAGAATGTGTGATTAGCTCTTCTGTGAAACCCCATCCAACAAGTATGTTTGTTCTCACACATTATTGCACAGTTTATTGCTTGGCATATGGTCATGTTTTGAAAGGTGTAGAAAAGATGCTGAAATCAGATAGGACACACTCTGAGAAAACCTTTGAACAATATAACAGGATGCTCTTGCACTCTGACTTTGAAGGACACTGCCCTGATTAGTCATCAGGATATCGCAGTAGACCTGGTTCAGAAATACTCTGAAAAGAATTAAAATAAATGTCAAGACCCATTAAAGCACACATAAAATCCATACATCATCTCTCAAGATTTTAATCCACATTATTGCATTTCTTGTGTATAATGTGTGATTAGCTCTTCTGTGAAACCCACCCATCATGTATGTTCTCATACTTGTTACATTTGGTCAAAGCTTATGAAAAAGTCTGGCTTCACCAGTCATGGGCACCAGAAGTTGGGAGCTCAGGCATAACACAAGGTTATTTTATTTTTTCAAATGTTTATATTGATTTTTTTTTTTAATGTAAGGAGCTACGACCCTCCTATGTCCTACCACAAACAGAAGTTCTCTTTTTAACCCTGTTCCTTTGCAGGAGTCCCTGTTCTGGCATTTTTGGGTTTTTGCCTACATGATATTTTTTGGCAGTGGCAACTGTGCCTGTATAACACTATAACACCTTTTGTATTGGTTGCAATAACATTGCAACAGTGTGTTGACTTGATAGGTTTGATTATGTATACTAACAAACAAACAAAAGGAAAAGAAGATATTTTTGGGGTTAATAAATAATTCCTTTTGGAAGGGGGAGAGGGGGGGGGGTGTCATTGTAAGGAAAATAGTCATGACAGAAATGAAATGTTTACGTATTTTGCTAGGTGTAACAAAGAAAGATCAACGATCTCTTCCTGCATCAACGCTGTGAGGTATTCCAGGTGTAAGGAAAAAAAGAAGTTGATAAGGTTATAATGATGTCACTGCGTTCTGCATGGATATTTTCATGATTAAAGTAAAGGAAAGCAGTGAATTCTTTTCTCTGTTTATATTTAGTGATTGCTTAATGTGAAGATGGCATAAGGCACACAGCACTTACTCCGTAGCTCCAGCGATGATTCTTTTTATTATTAAATACAAAATCTATAGAAGGTATTCTTTCAATACAGGAATTAAATGGTCACCCTAGTATTGCCTGCTTTTTAGGGAAGAAGCAGGGGATGTCCTGAAGGGCTGATGATGTTCTTGCATATAGGCAAGGGAATGATAGACAACGGATAGCCCAAGAGCTGCAGGCAACCGTAGACAAAGTAACTGACTGGTGTGCAAAAATGGGAGCTGTCATCAACTCAGAAAAGGCAGCTGTTTTGTGGTGCTCTCTGGACAATAGAAATGTAAGAGTTGATGTTCCAAGCCTCACAGTTAATAACAGTAACATGAAACTTTTTCAAGTAATTAAGATAGTAATACTTTGTTACTATTTGTGTATTTGCAGGTTAGATAGGGATCAGTGGATAAGACGTCTAGCAAATGAGAGGGTACAAGGCTATGATCCTGAATTTTACAATTATGAAGGTAACTTTTTTGTTACAGTTTTTTAAGTGTTTACGACTGAGTTTTAATCTATGAAAAATTTGTTACAAAATTATTAACCCTTTCACCCTGGTAAGGGTACCCCCAAAAAAAAAAAAAAAACATTTGTGTCTTGAAACAATGGAAATTCCCCCCAAAATACATTATTATATTAATATTTTTTAAACATTTTTTTTCTTCATTTGTTGTTGAAATATATGTATGTATAAAGAGGGATAACATGAATAGAGTGAAGCATTAAATGGTATACACTCTCTGGGGCCTAAAAAAAAATAAATGTATCAGGTGACTGATGCTGTGACCATTGAGACTAATCAGAAAATTGTATATCAACTTTGCTTTAAAAAAAAAAAGATATTTGCTCTGCAGATAAAAACCCTTTTTTTAGATACTATATTCATATCCTGACCTCCAAAACAGTTGTGCAGGTGCAGTCTCAGCCAATGGCACTATCCATGATTCTTGTAAACACATCATTCTAGACTAGTTGGAAAAGTGACATTTATGTTGAATTAGACCTCCCCCGTGTGGGTTCCGGGGCCCCATTGTGAGGAAAACAAGAATAGACCCAATGCCTCCCCAAAAGCATGTCGTAAGAATCGACTAATTGGGGAGCTTCCTTTGAAGTCGGAGTGCATCTGCCGGAGAGGCAAGGACCAACAGTCTGTATTCAAGAGAATGAGATCTGTAAAACTGATTCACATGCAACACTCAGGTTCTGGAGCAGGACTGCAGTTCAGTAGAGGATGAGCAACCAGAACTTTCCGCCAGAGTGTACAGCTGGTTAAGGCGAAGAAGAAGAAGAAAGAAGAATTAGACCTAATGGGAAGTATTAGTTTTGCAACTGACAGGGTTAGTTTTCCTTTACAGGAAATCATAAATCAACCCCAGCATTTGTTGACTTTATAGTTTTACTAAACAGTTTCATGTTCAGTAATTTGCTATTGCTTTTGGTAGGTGCTTATACCACTGTAAAAATTCATACAGTATGGTCTGCTGCCCTGTCATCTGCAGCAGAATTGAACCCTCTACATCTGAATTATCAGAATACATTCATAACCCCTTAACCACAAAGGCAGAAGAGACCATCCCAAACAGTGACTCGCAAGTGTCAAACATTTCGGTTTCAATTATGGAGGGGGAATGCAGACCGAAAAAATCAGAACAGGAATCACATGGCTGCCTTTACTTTCCAGGACATTTTGTAGCACCATCTTGGCCAGGTCAAGTTTTACAAATTCACTCAACTATGATTTTAACCCTGGTTTCCCCTTGTGTGTTTTGGGACCTCATTTGGGGGAGGGGTGGGGGGGGGGGGGAATTGACCCCTCCTCCTCTCCTCCCCCCACCCCAACATATATGTCGTAGAAGGTAATTTTTTAGGGATGTTTCTTTTGAAGACAGAGTGAATCTGCCTGACAGGCAAGGAACCAACAGTCTGCATAAAAAAAAAACCAGATCTGCACAGTGGATGTACATGCAGAACTCAAGTTCTGGATCAAGAAAATAAAGTTCCAGAATTGGACGAACAAACATAATCTTTCACTGAAGTTTACAGCCAGTAAAGGCTAAGAAGAAGAAGACTACTAGTTGAGTACCTGATCTAGCTGTTTATTTTGCTTGCTTTTTAGCTCACATTTTCTTTGATGATGCAATGGAGCCAGATGATAATGATGAGCAGGTTCCAAACCGTTGGGTGAAAGAGCTGGTAGCGTGTATGGACGTGGCATGCAGGTATTGTAGACTAATGTTATTATAAGTAATATGAGTCTCACGGTTTTCAGTTTTGCCCTCCAGTGTTCTATTAGATTTCTGTTTCATCATTAGTGTCCGTCACTTGAAAATATAGAACAGTTCTCATATCTTGGCAGTGTGCTGTCCCTATTAGGAGGGACAAAGGAAGACATACAATCACACTTGAACAAAGCTAGAGCTGCTCTTGGAAAGATGAGGCTAATTTGGAAAATTCAACAGTTACTGCAGAGGGACAAAACTCTGACTCTACAAAAGCATCATTTTGCCAGTTCTTCTTCATGAAGCAGAATGCTGGAGAATGACCTAAAAGAATTTTTAAAAATATTCTGGCCAGATACAATCTGAAACACTTAACTACTTCAAGTCACAAACCAAGAAACTCTAGACAGTATGATAACCAAGAGAAGTTGGAAATGGCTTAGCCGTGTTATGAGAATGAATCCTGATATACCTGCCAAAACAGCCCTTCCATTTGTAGACTGGAAGGATATAGTTTTGTCTCCCAGCTTCTGAGTTGAGTGCATGACGTGACACTGTGAGCTACACGTATTTTTCGTTGGCACAGGAGCGAGGCAACTATGGGGTGACCCATTTGCTATGAAGCTGAAATTAGGATTACCAAATTACCAGCCCTCACTTGGACACCAGAGGTAAAGAGAAAGAAAGGGCGCCCCAAAAAACAGTGTGGGGATTAATTATGAAAACTGAACTGAGTGCTGTATCTCTGACATGGAAAACTGCACTGAAGATTGCATAGGACAGGAAAGCATGGAAAGTATTCTCTGAAGCCTCATGTGCCACTAGGCATAAAGAAAAGTGAGATGAGTGTCTGTGGTGTAAGGGTTGTCATTGCAGTTTCTTTGAGCCTATGGATTTAAAGCTTCATGGCTAGTGCAGTTCCCACCCCCCCCCCCCCCCCCCCCCCCAAACATAGAAAAACCCATGACCTTACCAAGGATTTTAAACATACTGCATGAGAGCCCAGTGTTCTTACCTATTCTGCAGGTTGCTCCTCAGAACCTGTGCACTGACTGTTGTGTGCTTGATTCCAGACTAGAAGGTGTGAACAGTATTGTGTTGTCTGTCATATGACAATATGTTCTCCTCTTGAATGACTGATGTGTGCTTGATTCCAGACTAGAATGTGTGGAAAAAGTATTGTGTTGTCTATCATATGACAATATGTTCTCCACTTGAATAACTACTGTGTGCTTGATTCCAGACTAGAAGGTGTGAAAAGTATTGTGTTGTCTGTCATATGACAATATGTTTTCCTCTTGAATAACTACTGTGTGCTTGATTCCAGACTGGAAGATGAGGAAAGTATGTTGTTGAATGTCATATGACAGTATATTCTCCTCTTGAATAACTGCTGTTTGACTGTAATTGGTTACATATTAATGAATGTCTAAGAAATCATTGAAATATGTAATGAGAGTGTCACTTTCACCACACCATCATGAACACTTGGATGAATAAAGTATCACTGTTGTCTGTGGGTATTACTCACTAATTTGTGGCATTTGTCAGCATTTATAATTCACCAAGTTTAGTGTATCTTCATTTGATTGCCAGTTAAAACTTTACTGGCTTTAGATTTTTGACAGTTTACAGTCTGTTACCCTAGGACTGAATATTATGTTAGTCATCCCCTTGACAGTTACAGTAAGCAGTGTCTAAAATAGTGTTGCCAGACATTAACACTATACAGGTAGCCAAAGAAGAATAGTAAATCAACACAGAAATGGTGTTATCAGTCGCCACACATTGAGAGAGATGGGATCCAAGTTCCAATGGATCTGTCCTGTGTGCAGTGTGAGGATGATCAGTCAATTAACAGACTAACAAGTAGGGAATGAAAGTGCCCATTTACTACGCCAAACCAAAATGTGATCTTGTGTTCAGCTCAGTTCATGGCAAGCCAATGAAGGTTCACCCTCCCACGAAGGTACCTACTCCTTACGGTGGTCAGCTCATTTGGCAGATGCCTGGAGAGAATCTACTCTTTGTTCATATGAAAGACATCCAGAAGATCAGAAACAGGAAAACGATGGTCACAGGTATTTTTTTTTTATTCTGCTTCTGTCCTACTGTTTGTGCCCTAAAGCATCGCGGAGAGGAGTTAGATTTAGTTTCCTGTCTTTTGCTAATTGGTAACATATCTCCACATATCCCTTTCTTCTTCTTCTGCCTTTCTAGCCCCCCCCCCCTCCCCCCCCCAATGGAGCATAGGTTCTCAACCAACTCACGCCAGGTCATTCTATCCTTTGCTATCGCTTGCAGCTCTCCCCATGTTCTCCCCATCTTTCTGACTTCATTCTCCAGCTCTCTTCTCCATGCGTTTTTTTTGTTTCCTTTATTCCTGTGGCCCTGTGGGTTCCAATGCAAAGACATTCTAGTTATATTGTTCTTCGGTTTTCTCATTGTATCCCTTTCTACAGCACCCTAAGTCATATTTTCACTTGGTATTTTTTCGTACTACCAATGCAGGCTCTACACATGGAGAGCTCTGATCTGAAAGCAAAAGGTTGCCCTGGGAGAATATGGATCGATGACATTAAAGACTTTCTACATCAGCATGGAATGACAATTATTACCCATCAGGCAGTGGACCACAAACTGTTCCTCTCCATGACACTTAATGGCAAAAGTGGACATTGATGATGATGATGAGCTTTTCATGACAGAAATCTGTCCTAAATTTTGTCTGAATGTCTTGACCCACCTCTTTCTCCATCAGTCTTGCTCATTATTAACAGCTTTTCCTCTTGTCATGTTAAGACCAAGCAATATTGAATGTTTTATTATGATGTTTGTGATATTTGTGTGTGAGTATTTTGGCCTTGTTCAAAACATTCAGATTATTCTCTCTGGCTGTCCTGTATATTTATCTCTAAGACATAAACACCATAAAGAGAACATAAGGATATGATAGTTGGGAGAAAAAGAAATGATAAAACTAATAACACAGATTTTTAAAACAAGCATGCAGAGATATACATGGTGTTTATAAAGTCTCACTACACTTTGTGTGAAAAATAAATTTGCGAAACAAAGTACATCACGTCATTGAATAATGTGCTTTGCAATCAAACGTGAAGCAATTTGCTGTGAGTGGCTGTCATCTGCTAGAGTAATTCTTTGCACTCAGAACAGAATGGTGTTGTCAGGGAAGCAACCAGAATTACTTTTCAAGAAATAGCAACAGATGCATTGTAGAAGGTATTTGACAGTATCAAGGGACGTGTACAGTCCTGATGCCTGCGGTGGTTATTTCCAGCGTCTACTCTAACGAATATTCCATTAATACTTTACGGTCTTCCCCAAAACAGTGTTAAATCATAGCAGTGACTTTTAAAACTAATTTAGTGACTTTTTAATTTTAAATACATTTTTTAATCACCTCATGTACTTGGGTTTTTCAGATTTGTTTTGCAAATAAAATGTAGTCAGACTTAAAAAACACCCTATGTTAATGCAAAAATTAATGAAATTGAAGAAAATGATATAAGATAAACTGTGATAAAGTCGAGTAATCAAGAAGCTTCACAATCAGCCGTGTGAAATACTTGCAGACATTATGGCAGAATTGTAAAATGACACTCTTGCTTGTTCAGTAGTTGTTAGCAACAAGATTTTGGAGTTCTGACATCAGGTGAAAAGATTCAGGGACACTCCAACATCTGTTGAGAGAGACAGAACACATATAAATGTATTCTGAGTGCAGTTAATATTTAAAAAGAAAAAAAGATTCTATGCCATCTTCACATTGAAGGCTGTCACTACAAATCTTGTACCACTGTCTGAAAACCACGAGAACGTTTTTTTCTTCCACCACAGGTAACGAACCACATCACTTGAGGGTCATGATATTGTTAACCGTGTGCACTAGCCTCTTAGCCATAGAGCCGCACAGCATTTATTATAGTTGACAGCTGGCCAATCGGTGGCAACATCGGGCTCTCAAGCGGGATTACTGGGTTTTACACCTGGTAAGGTGATCCGGTATTTCTGTTGGGGGAGGGGTCAAATTAAACATCCTAACCTGCACAGTCCGTGGCAACAGCTCTAGCCATGCGGCCCTAATTCCTCAGCCTACAACCCCTGGCCCCCTTTCTGTCTACACCTTCCTAACAAGTGGTAGGAACAGACAGTGGTGACAGTTTAGATCAGTTAATCATTTGGTAAATATTGCAGGTGATGTACATGTACTACTTGCTGGGCTACCGCCACATCATGGCAAGCAAACACGAGCTACTGGAGAGGCTGAAAGAAGTCAACCTCAATCAGGGTAACCATGGCCTCAACATCAACGAGATTAATTACCTGCTGGGGGAAGAATCGACACTACGGGTAAGCTGTTGTATTATTTTACAGAAACATTCTTAGAAGAAGGTAAAACCCTGACATCCTACATCAGGGCTATTCAACTGGCGACCTAGCAAGTGGCCCCCGATCATTGCCAGCTGTCTTGTATTAACTGTCTTTTTATGCTGTGGTCCTGTCTTTTGGCTTGTGATGATCCCCATTTTGAAAAGTCTGGCCCCTGAGTAAACTTAGTTAAATAGCCCTGTCCTACATGAACTGAGCATTGAGGAGAGTTGGCTCATAAACAGCATCCTGTCTCCAAAGCAGAGGTGTTCTGGCCATATTAAATGTCATGGTATCCTGGAGAGAATGGTGGAGGGTACAGTTTCCCAACACACACAAAATGAGGCAGACCTGTACTAGACATTGAAGATGGATTAGCTATGAAAGCACATAGGGCTGTAGAACTGGCTAGAGAAAGAGATATTTCAGGTGTACGTGACAACAGCTGTGTCTGTAAAGGACCTGCTAATTGCTGGTGATGATGATGTTATTTATTTCTTGTTTATTTGTTTTGTGAATAGTCAGCATCACAAGGTGCTTCCTGTCTAATATATATCAGATAGGCAAGGTAGGTCGTTTAGCTTTGAAACAATTTTAGCTGTGCTTGTTTATGAAGCTTCCATATATAGATGATTCTGTGATTTCACTGCTTAAGCTACCTACAGACTTAAGTGCTTGGTGCAGCACTGTAAGCTAGGTATTTTATGTGGAATGCCTTTTGTTTGTGCTCACAGTGGTTAATTCATAATGTTTAGAAAATGGTGGGTAGCCAGTTTGCGTGCGTGCGGGCTAGTGGAATACCTTATGAAATCATTTTGCATGTCAACGGCCGACTATTCGTTACGGAGTTATTTTGTCAGTAATAAATTGCAAATCAGGTGGTCTGTTGATGTTGGCATCTCTAGCAACTGCCTTATGCATTTACTACATGGGCATGTTTCTGGATTTTCCTGGACTAATTCTTTGTTCACCAGTTTTAAGATGGGATTGGCTTTTCATGGGAAGTCTTATTAATCTTATTAATTTTCTAGTAACGTGTATAAAATACTTGTTTTCCCAAAGATAACTTTTTAAATTCCGTAACTCCCATGTTCTAGACGTTTTTTTTTCTCTTAATGAAAGGTTTGAAGACATTTGAAACATGTATTGTGTGTTGCAGGCACAGAACACCTTCATTCTGGCCCTGGATGGGGACACTGACTTCTCTCCAGGTGCCATCAAGATTCTTCTGGACAGGATGAAGGATGACAATGTTGGTGCTGCTTGTGGAAGGATTCATCCCATTGGCAGTGGTAGGTACCTGTCGGTGTTGATGTGATATTTCCTGTGTATTCATGCTGGTGTGATATTTCCAAATTATACATTCTTCTTCTTCTTCACATTCACCGGCTGTAAACTGTGGTGGAAAGTTCTAGTTGTTCAGTCATCTCTGGATGTTAGTTTTGTTCTAGAACCTGAGAGTTGGGTGCACATCATTTCTTTTTTTTTTTTTTGCCTTGTTTGTATGCAGACTGTTGGTTTCTTGCTAACCAGGCAGATGCGCTCCAACTTCAAAGGACCCCCCACCCCCCAATTAGTACAGTGACTCTGTTCCTGTTTTTCCCCCCAGTGGGACCCTGGAACCCTCACAGAGACAATTTATACATTGAATTGTATACAAACTTTTTCAAAAATAATGTCTAAGGAGGATCCTGTGAATATATTGGCCAAACATGATGAAGAACTGAGAAGAAAAGCTAAATTTTCATCACTAGTAAATGTTACTAAATGAGGAAGATGGAGATGGATTGGGCAGGTTACCTCATGACACTTTGGCAAGAACCATTCTCTGGTGGACGGCAGATGGAGAAAGGAGACGAGGATACCCTAAGTGAAGGACATTCTCTGTGGTTTTTGTTAGCACACAAACAGAGCAACTGCGGTTTGCGGTGAAGTTGGAACTGTGATTACCTGCATGCATACACAAGTCTGCTGCATGAGATCATTTAGTTACATTTATTCACAGTCACTTGTTCCGACTCATTCACATTTTTTTTCTCACTAATTTAGTTTTTTTTTTATTTATTTTTCAAGCAGTCTCTGTATTCTTATGGTTACGAACCTCTCTACCTGTTGGATGATCAATCATTCACTTACACTTGCTCACAGTCACTTGTTCTGTCTCATTCAGTTTTCTCATGCATTCAGTTTGTTTTTACAATTGTCCTTCAAGCATTGTGTGTATTACTCTGGTTATGAACGTGTCTATTTCAGAGATCAGTGTTTCAGACTTTACTGTGTATTTGTGAAATGTTTACTTTCTCATATACCATATTTCTCTGAGTATAAGATGCTCCCATGTATTAGATGTGCCTTGATTTTGGGACCAGAAATTTTGGGGAGACAAAATAATAATATAATCATCATCATCATCACGTGCCTTGTCAGCTGGCATAGGCATTCATGCATCTCCACAGATCTCGGTCTTTGGTGTTCTGGATTACTACCTCAACCGCAGGACGCTGATGTATATGTTAAAAGAGAAATCTGAGCACCTATGGACATGTCCAGAGTGCCGTTAAGATAACCCAACTCATAACTCATTCACTTGGTCTGCCTCTGCCTCTTCTACCAGTGATCTTCCAGTTGTCACAATATTTTCCAGTGCTCCTTTTCTCTTCACATGACCAAAAGAACTTTGTTTGTCTCCTTCTCATTGTTGTATATAATGTTCTTCTTTGATTTGCCATTTCCAGGCAATCATTGTTAGTTATTCTGGCAATCCAATATATTCGCAACATTCTTCTCAAGAACCACACCTATTTGCCTCCAAATCTTAATATTCTATGATATACCATCAGTGTATAAGATGTACACTATTTTTAGACCCTATATTTTTATTTTTGGAAAATAAGTGTTTCTTGCCCTTGGGGAAATATGGTATTTGATCCAGGATAACTTGTGAGCCAGTGTGAATACTCAAACATGAATGTCATGATGCCCCTAATCACTACAGATTGTCATTTTTATTCACTCCATCATTCCTTCCTTCCCCCACCCCCCCCCCCTCTCTCCTCTCTCTCTCTCTCTCTCTCTCTCTTTTTTCTCTCTCTCTCTCTCTTTTTTTTTTTGCCCGCTCATTGTTATTTATTGCAATCTTTCAGGGCCTATGGTCTTTTACCAGAAATTTGAGTATGCCATTGGTCACTGGCTTCAGAAAGCTGCAGAACATGTCTTTGGCTGTGTCCTCTGTAGTCCTGGATGTTTCAGGTAAGAGTATATCTCCAAAGTCTACTTTGTATATATTTTACCTCATTTTTTGTTTATATGAGACAGGCTGTTTTGCTGAATTGTTTTCTTTCTTCTTCTTCATGTTCACCGGCTTTAAATTCTGGCAGAAAGTTCTGGTTGTTCATCCACCTCTGGACCTTGGTCTTTTTCCAGTACTTGAATTGTCTGCACATCCATTTTACAGATCTGGCTGATCTGTACACAGACTGTTGGTCCCTTGCCTCTCAGACAGATACACTCCAGCTTCGAAAGAAACCTCTAATTAGTCGACTCTTACGACATTCGTGTTAGGGAGGCAGTGAGACTGTTCTTGTTTTCTTCCACAGTGGGGCCCTGGTACCCATACGATGAATGTTATTCTGTCTATACAAGGCATTGTTACCTTACAGTACAAATGTCCCATCGTTCAGGGAAAGACAAGGTGGACATACAGTCAGATTGATAATGGTACCATCAGTACTGTAACCCTGTTGAAGATGAGGATGGAGCACCTATGGGAATGTCTTCAGTGTTATCTCAGTTCTAAACTCAACTTAACCTACCTGTCTAGGGTAGAAGGTACGGTGTTAGCCAGGATACTGGGAATTTAAAGGTTACTGATAGGGTAAGTTGAAATTCTGCAGATAAAATATAAATACTTACATTATCTTTTAATCTTGAAAGACTGAGTAGACAAATATGGGGAAGAAGTTAGATGTGTCTGACATGAACCACAAAATATCAAGTTGTTCTGTAAAGTGGCAAATTACAAATACTGTCTAACAACAACAAAATACAAAGAAATTGAGGAAAGGGAAGGAAGGGAGGAGGAGAGGGAGGATGAAGATTGTATAACTCACAAAGATGATATTGGCATGTTGTTGTTGTTTCTGTGGTTTTTTGTTTCTGATGATATTTTTTTTGTTTTTTTCAGTTTGTTTAGAGCTGATGACACTAATTTGATTTTCCCATGTTTGTTTTCTGTGTTGTTTAGAGCTGCTGCACTGATGGACACTAATGTGATGATATTTTCCCATTTTTGTTTTCTGTGTCCAGTTTGTTTAGAGCTGCCGCACTTGATGGATGGTTTTTTCTGTGTCCAGCTGCTGCATTGATGGACAATGTGATGATATTTTCCCATGTTTTGTTTTCTGTGTCCAGTTTGTTTAGAGCTGCCGCACTGATGGACACTAATGTGATGATATTTTCCCATGTTTGTTTTCTGTGTGTTTGTTTTCTGTGTCCAGATGATATTTTAGAGCTGTGTCCAGTTTGTTTAGATTGATGGACACTAATGTGATGATATTTTCCCATGTTTGTTTTCTGTGTCCAGTTTGTTTAGAGCTGCTGCATTGATGGACACTAATGTGATGATATTTTCCCATGTTTGTTTTCTGTGTCCAGTTTGTTTAGAGCTGCCGCACTAATGGACACTAATGTGATGATATTTTCCCATGTTTGTTTTCTGTGTCCAGTTTGTTTAGAGCTGCTGCACTGATGGACACTAATGTGATGATATTTTCCCATGTTTGTTTTCTGTGTCCAGTTTGTTTAGAGCTGCTGCATTGATGGACACTAATGTGATGATATTTTCCCATGTTTGTTTTCTGTGTCCAGTTTGTTTAGAGCTGCTGCACTGATGGACACTAATGTGATGATATTTTCCCATGTTTGTTTTCTGTGTCCAGTTTGTTTAGAGCTGCCGCACTGATGGACACCAATGTGATGAAGAAATATACAACAGAACCTACAGAGCCTGGCCATCATTTGCAGTATGATCAAGGTATGACTTCAGGAAGAGTAGTTTGTTGATCTGGCAAATTGTTTATGTTCTTACTTATGAAACAGAAAAACTAGTTTTTCTCTGGAGAAAATTGTATCCACAATGATATGTGTATTTTATTTGAAAGGATTTCTCTATTTGTTCTTCATTATATGCTGATGGAAGTTCACAACTAACAATAAAATAAATGAAAATGTTCCCAAACTTTAAATACCATGGCATATATTAAGAAGCAAAATAAATTTGCTCATTTCCTTTCGCCCCAGCATGTCCAGGTATATCAGCCAAGAAAGTTTGTTCTTAAAGCGAGACTTCTGGGAACTGTCAACCTATTCTAGTTAGAGTTTGCTGGCGGAACAGAAAACACCTCACACATTGATAGTGACAAACTCATTGAGCATGCTTTAGAAGATCCAAACTGGCACAGTCTGACTAGAATGGGTTGACAGCATTCAAAAGTCCTGCTTCGAGTACTGTCTTATCTGTACTAACCAAGAGACACTGGGTTGAAAGGAAGTAAAAGTCTTTAGCTGACAGACTAGCCATGTCTGCAGTAGTTCAGGGAGGAAGAAGTATGGACAGGTCAGGCATACTGAATGCACTGCATTCCAGAAACTCCAGGAGTCAGAGGCGATGACCCATCTGTTGGAAATGGGTATTAACCCTTTGAAGATGGAGACTTTTTGGAGTTTCAGTGCTAAGAAGACGGAGCCTTCAGGAGGGGATTCTCATAGTTTATTCACTAAAATTTTAAAAAATAAAGCATTTAATTAACATATACAAAACGATATATATTTGTATATGAAATTGAATGAACTAACAGAATATTTAGGAATCAAACTGAAATCTCAACATTTATTTAAATTAACTAGTCTTATTTGCATAATTTATTCTAGCAAATTTTTTTTAAAATTTGGTTACAAACATAACTAACCTAAAAAATGTGAGTGAATTTTTTTATGGATGAAGCTTGATTAAGTTATAACACCTGTATTTTGGGAAGTAAGGCCCTTGAAGAGCCTTCGGACACGTCTGGCACATGTTGTACTAATTTTCCTGCCTCCAGCTATGTTTCGATTGCTATGACGCGACAGTCCTTTTTCGCCATTTTTGGACACCGGTAACCCCAGAAAAAAATTGATGTAAAATTACAGAACACATCAAACTTTCTCGAAAGCCGTCAATGAACAGCCCACATGTGCAATAAATGCAAGAAGTAGTCTGATTGGCTGGTATGAAAACCTGCCAGCCAATATCAAGGCTTCTATTATATAGGGCCGACCGATCGGCCCAGTAGTCCTTTTGGCTACTTTGTGTTAGGCCAATATTTTGAATGTGTCATCTCCAAAGGGTTAAAAAAGGACAAGCATACAGAAACTAGTTGTGGGGCAAAGGAAGAAGATATGTCGAATTCTACTGGGTATGTTGAGCATGGAGACACTGAGATGGCTGCTACATCATAGGACGGTGCACATGTGTTGCACCGATGTGGTAGTATGTCAATACAGAACACAACTGGCTGGTGTCATCTGCATGGATGTATAATGTCTGATCATCATCATCATCAAGTACCTTGCTGACTGGCCTGGGTGATCATACCTCTCCACAATCTGCGATCTGCAACTGTGTGTACCAGTTTGTGTGTTGACACCCTCCATGCCAAGACAAAAGGCTGTCAAGAATCTTTTCATGTTGCCTTCCTCTGTCTCTCTTTCCACAGATCTTTCCAGTTTTTTTCTTCAATTAATGTGACAAAAACATTGATAATATTTACTAGCCATAACAGTGTGTGTTTTTTTCTGACCATCACAGGTGAAGATCGTTGGCTGTGCACACTGATGCTTCAGCAGGGCTACAGGATTGAATACGCAGCTGCTGCAGATGCTTGGACATATGCACCAGAAGGATTCTTTGAGTTCTTCAACCAGAGGCGCCGCTGGATGCCCTCAACTATTGCCAACATTCTGGATTTGCTGGGCAGTGCCACCATGACCACCAAGAGGAATGCCAACATGAGCAGACCGTACATTGGTTACCAGTGGCTGCTGATGTTGATGACTATACTGGGGCCTGGCACAATCATTATGATGATTGCTGGTATGTTACATGTGCATGTTTCTGTTGTCTGTATGGGTTTCACTTGTCTGTGGAGAGAGAGAGAGGTTTGCAGTTTATAAACATGAGATTTCTTCTTCTTCTTCTTCTTCTTCTTCTTCTTCTTCTTCTTCTTCTTCTTCTTCTTCTTCTTCTTCTTCTTCTTCTTCTCCTTTTTCTTCTTATCTTCACCTTCACCAGCTGTAATGTAAAGTCTGGCAGAAAGTTCTGATTGTTCATCCACCTCTGGAATTTAATCTTGTTCCAGAACCTGCCTGTTGCATGCACATCTCTTTTACAGATCTGGCTTACTTGAATGCAGATTGTTGATACCTTGCTTCTCAGGCAGATGCACTCAGACCTTAAAGGAAGCACCCAATTAGTCAACTCTTATGTTGGGGAGGCAGTGGATCTGTTCTTGTTTTCCCCACAATGGGGCCTTTGAACCACATTTGGGTAGAATAGTCTGTCTAACTTTTTTCTGGAAGTCTGGATATACAGAAGAATAGCTCGTATTTCATAGAAACAAACACAGTCCAATACAGAGGTTCTGTGGGGACTGCGAATGGAAAGAGAGTTACTGAAAGAAACCCCAAAAAAAGGGACAGTTGAAATATTTTGGCCACATTGAAGAAATAACACTTTTATTATTGGACTGAAAGATCAAGAGCAAGAGAGCAAGGTGCAGGCAGTGATACAAGTGGATACAAGAACAATATCAAGAGATGAACAAATAACAGTCTGAGAGAGTGTACAACCAAGACAAGAATCAGAGCATGTTGGAGATCCATTGCAGCTAACTTTCATTGTGAAGATGGCACCTGATTGATTGACTTATGGATTCTAACCTTTGCTAGAGAGGCCTTCATTTCTTTTGATGTTGTTAGGGGTCTAAGTATCCACTAGATTATTGCTGTCTGGGAATTATTAAATTTTGGTACATAATATGCTGTGAGTTCATTGTTCAGTGAACTCAGTTTGTTAAGCTTAGGATTTTAATGTTCTGTCTCTCTTTCTCTCTCTCTCTCTCTCTCTCTCTCTCTCTCTCTCTCTCTCTCTATCTGTCTCTCTCTCTCTCTCTGTCTCTCTCTCTCTCTCTCTCTGTCTCTCTGTCTCTCTCTGTCTCTCTCTCTCTCTCTCACACACACAAACACACACAGACACACACACACACACAACATATATACTCATAGACATGCATTGCATAGTTGAAGTGGATGAAAAACCAGAATTTTCTGCCAAAGTCTACAGCAGGTGAAGAGAAGAAGATTTGGACTGACATATTTTTAATGATATTTTCATCTCCAGGAGCTGTGAAGCTGGTCTTCAAATTCTCCCTTGTGGAGGCCTACCTCTTTGCCACACTGCCGGCTGCTGCCTACACACTGCTGTGCTTCTGGTGCAGCTCCAGGATACAGCTGATTGTGGCTGCCGCCCTCAGTGTCATCTACACTTTCATCATGATGATAGTCCTGGTGGGCACCATCATGACGGCCACCACGGAGAACATCTTCAATCCCAGCGTCCTTGTCATTTCCGTGCTGGTTGGGATTTTTGTGATTTCTGGAGTCTGTCATCCGCAGGTTGGTCGATATTTTTAATAAATCTTGTTGGCTTATTTGCGTGTCGTTGCCATTGTTTAGTTAGAGGGTTGGCTGGCCGAGCAATTGTAGCATTGGACGTTCATGTAGGAGACCCAAGTGCCACCCCTGGTAAGATGGGAGTTTTTCTGTTGGAGGTTAAAATAAATATTTGAATCTGCACAGTCTGTGGCAACGGCACTAGCCTTGAGGCCCTAAACCCTAAGACTCAGAACACCAATCTCCCTTCCCCTCCTTTGGTCTACACTGCCCTAAAAATAAAAATAAAAAAGTAAATACAGACAGAAGTGAGAATTTTTTAAAGTTTAATCTCCAGGCAGGTTTTGTCAGACAAGAATGGACTGTATCACTAAACACGTCAACGATGGTTGGCCTAACCTTCGTTTTTGTGCCTATTAATGCAGGTGTTTGAGGCAGCAAGCATGCTGATTGTTTGGCAGACACTGCAGTTGCTATGACTTGACAGAAGCAGGGTCATCAATGCCATGTACGGCACACATCACAGAGATGTGACACAAAGAGCAGAGAAGACAACTCTGATGTCCGCTTTGTGTGCCCTGGTTCGGCTGCCAGTCATTCATCAAACAGATGACCCATGCCAAACAGCAGATGTTGACAGAAGAGCAAATAATACATCATTGTTCTGTACATTTTATAGTACTGTTTGATAATGTCCTTTTGTGTATCAGTGTTAACATTTTTTTTTTAGCTTGTAAGAGAATGGTATATCATCATCATCATCATCATCATGTTGTAAGTCCTTTGCAGAACATCACTTTCATCATGATTGAAACTCTCGTCTGATCTCTTGCCAGCTCTCCCGCCTCATGCACTTTCATATCCATGAGGTCATTTATATCCTGTGCCCATCTTTGTGTTGGTAGACCCCTGCCCCTACTTACTGGTACCATGCCTTCTGTTTTTTTTTTTTTTTTCTAATCCACTATGGCGCTTGATGTGACTAAAATATTTCATCTTCCGAGACAAGATGCTGTATTTTAGCCAATCTTCCTTGATGTTCGGATCTTTTAGAATGTTGTTATTTCTTCTCATCTTTGTCTATGGTATTCTGATAATGTTTCTGTAGCATTTCAGCTCAAAAGCCCCTATTTTTTTCCCTAAGGACTGGGAGATCATTCACATCTCACATCTGCTTTTGCTAAAGGGAAGAGGCATGCTCTTAAAAACACAAAGTTGTATACCATTGTTTAAAAAAAAATGTTAACTAGTTAGCAGAATTATAATGAATCAGGAGATAAGATATTTGCATTTTAGAAAACTTAAGTGAAAGACTGGGAGTCGCAGCTAGTCGCTGGCGTGCGGATCGAAAGGTCGTGGGATAGCTCCCTGGCCGAGCCAGACTTTTTTTCAAAAATGACCTTGATTCTTAAGTCAACCCAGCCTTGAGTTGGTACCGGGTGTAGTCCTGGGAAGTAAAGGTGGCCGGCGTGATGCTGATCACATCACCCATCTTATGCCGATTGGTCTGTAAAAATATAAGGCTAGCCCTATACGCATACAGGCGTCGAAAAGGGACCTTTACTAACAAGTGAAAGACTAGAATGTCTCATGACTTCCTTTGCATGAAAATATCTCACTAAAATATGTTTTTATCTGTTCTAATTTTGTACTCATGTAATAGGTTTTTAGAAAAACATAAAATGAGGTTAAGCTTGTGTAATATTTCTTTGTTTGCAGGAAATTTGGTGCCTGATGCATGGAATCCTGTACTTGCTTACAATCCCATCTGGCTACCTTCTTCTGGTCATCTATTCCATCTGCAACCTGAATGATGTTTCCTGGGGCACTAGAGAGGTACCAACAAAGGCACAGAGGTTAGAAATGGAGAGGAAGAAAAAGGAAAAGGAGGAACTAGAAAAGAACAAGCCAAAGAAAGGGTTTCTGGCAAAATTATTCAACAGAGGAGAAGGTAGAAGGAAATATAGCAAAATATATGTGTGTTTGTGTGCATGGTGTGTTTGTTTAAATCAGTGTTTCCCAAACATTTTTCGTTCCTTTTTCAATAAATAAAAATTGCTCAGTGCCCCCTGTGCCTAGAAAAATCATAACCATCAACATGAGCCATGCTGATAAGCACATGTGGTAATGATTCACCATCCTGCACAATCAGCAATATCCCAGATCAGGTCAGAGCTCTTTTCATGCCCCATGCTTACGGCCAAGCCATCATGTTCATTATTATTATAGTGGACACCCACTGAAAGATTAGTTCTGTTCTTATTGACATCACTCTGATGATGATGTTTGTTTGTTTGTTTTTATTTTTGTTTTTTTGGTGTTTTTTTTAGACGATTCATAAGATTACCTGAAGGCCTACATCGAGTGTGAATATGCAGTTTTATTATTTAGTTCTGCTTGATTATTAAGAGTCAGTGCAACTGAAAGGAGAGTTGTTGCTTATTCTCTATCACTTTTGAGTGTGGGTCTCTGTTGCCATTAGAATATATAATGTAGATTTTGCTCAGGGAAAGGACTAAACAAATTCCAGTGGACCAAGAGATAGAGAAAAGATGCTGGCATCGGATGAGACACATGTTGAGAAAACCTGACAGTATAACTAGAATGTCTTTGCACTGGAACTCACAGGGGCATAGAAATAAAGGCGCGCTCATGCACGCACACACGCATGCATGCACACGCGCACGCACACACACACACACACATATATATATATATGTGTGTGTGTGTGGAGAAGGTAGCTAGAGAGTAATGTTAAAAAGATGGGGAGGACATAGAGTGAGGTATATCGAAAAGCAAAGGATAGAACCACTTGGCATGAGTTGGTTGAGGGCCTATGCTCCACAGGGGGATAGAAGGCAGAAGAAGAAAGATTACTTTTTGGAGGGGTGACATGTTGCTTTCCTAACCACCTTGATTCCTAGCTGGTGCTACGCCATTGAGTGGTGAGTTCAGGTTTGACAAGCTAGGTGTAGCAATGACCCTTTGGAAGTGAGTGAACAGTGAGAGACAGAACTAAAGAAAATAGTTCAGCATGGGGTGACTAGGGTATTTGACCAACACTTTGCACTCTGAGGAAAGGCAGGAAGGACGTACAAGCAAACTGTTGCTGATACCATCATTCACATCAGTTAACAGGGGGAACCCTTCAGGCCATTAATTATTATAGATTAATAAAGTAACAAGTGGCTAAGGCGTTGCGAGTCCGACTCGTAAGCCAGCATACCGCGACCGAAACCCACTGCAGGCTGCGTGGATTTTTATCGTGGTATGGGACGTCGCAGGTCGACCCAGCCTAAAATGGGTACCAGGATGGGCTGTCCTGGGAAAGTAAAGACAGCCGGCGTAATGCTGACCACTTTACCCACAGAGTGCTGATGGTCTGTAAAAATATGGGACGCTCTGCCCATATGCCCGATGCGCCGAAAGGCGTGAAAAGGGATCTTTACTTTTTTTTTTTACTTTTTTAATAAAGTAACAGAAAATGAATTGATCGGCACTCATAGAAAAAAAGTAGAAAGATAGAAAACACTAGACAACATAAAAATCAAAAGCTGTAGTTACTGTGCCTGGAATTGAACCTGTAACCTCCATCAGCACTGGAACTCTTCGACAGCTGCTGAAAGTGAGGACGGAGCACACATATGAATGTTCCAAAGACTGTTATGTCGGTTCCTAACAGTGGTACTTATGTTATTATAACCTGACTAATGAAAAAAAAGGCTACTCATATTCAGTCTTGTAAGAATTGTTTCGATGAACTTCTGGTGACCAGAACACATCAGAGAACTAACCAAGCTTGTGAAGACACTAGTGCCGCAGAAATCTGGAAGTCCGCAGCAGCTGATGGGGATAGCTATTCAAAGTTCAGATACTGGCGAAGAGGCTGATAATAAAGTCATTCATCTGCTGTCAAAAATTGAGTTCAACCTGGAGGTAAGCTCCACAGAAACGCTGTTGTTTTCATAGGTTGTTTTTTTTATAGAAAGAATTTTTTTGCAATGTTTAGAGCAGATGGTGTACAAGTTTGGCAGAAAGAACATCATTGTACATAAATGGATATTCAGTCTCTTGGCTGTTCTCATCTTCAGAAGTTATTATTTTTACTTCCCCGTGTGGGTTCTGGGGCCCCATTGGAAAGGGGGTGGGGTGATAGACCCACTAACCCTATTATGCATGTCTGTAAGGTAACTAATTAGGAGTTTGCTGGAATTGGATGTGTTAGGTCAAAAGGTGCAGATATTGCAGTTTTGCTGTAGACCACAACACAGTATGGCAACCACCCTTTTATTGATGAACACAGAAGGAGAATTACTTTCACTCATTCCATCCAATACACTTGCTGCTTCAGAGTGATATATTTTGAGGGTCAGATCATTCAAAAAATGACCCTGTTAATTTAACATGAGAAGCTGAGTAACAACTGGATAAAGCTGGGTAATGTCACAACTGGATGAGATCGAAAAAAAAAAAAAAATATTTCATTGACGGAGTTGTCAATAGAATTATACCGTGTCTCCACACACACAAAAACACAAATAAAACATCAGTAACCTTTATACATTTTTAATATCTCTGTCTAAAAATCATTCAGTTATTACAAGGATTGGTAAAATGGTGATAAAAATGCCTTTTTTTTTATTTTTTTTATTTTTTAATATCATGCCACAAATGTCTTGTTACCATGGGTTTCTCAACCTGTGGCGTTGTACCACAGCTGCGTGATTGCTATTTCATCTGCTTTTAAATTACTAGGGATACAATATTGCTTCTCACGCAGGAAACACCCTAATTCATTGAACCAGATTTGTGGCCACCCAGTAGTCCAGACATTAACACTGTGTAACTTGGGGCGTCATGCAAGAAAAGATCTACTAAAGCAAAAAAAAGCAGCAGATAAAGCAGGTTTGGAGTGAGCTTGACAAAAGCATCAAAAAAGCGGCTATGAAAAAAGTGGTGGATCCGACTAAACGCATGTGTTGTAGTTGGCGGTGGATACTTTGAGCATCAGTTTAAATAGACAAAATGAAGGTTAACATTTCATTATCATTTGTACAACTTTTGTTATAATCAATGATTTTTGACAGAATTATTAAAATAAAAAAAGGTAATTGATATTTAGGGGGGGGGGGGGGGGGGCAACCTGTATAGTGAGTTATGAGTTAAAACTGGCCTCACAGCACTTGGGACATTCACATAAACGCTCTGTCCCCATCTTCTGCAGCAAGCCTAGAGTTCCAGTTCCGATAGCACCAGTAATAGTCTGATTGTTCATCTGTCTCGACCCTTCCCAGAGGTTTGAGCGTCAGCTGCTCCTTGTTGCACCATTCTCTTCAAACTGTGATGATCTCTTTGTGTCTTTGCACTGTTCACTCACACGCAAAAGCCCTTACACCATCAAGCTGGTCATGCATCAGTTTACTACCAAGAGGTGCAGAAACAGCCAGTGTATTTGCTTGTTTATTTCCCAACACACTGGCCCGCCCGGGGGAAAATATCCAAAGGACGCTAGCTACCCGGGACCTCTGATAGATGTATAGCGAGTCAACTGGTACACAGTGAGTTAATTCATTCTAAACAAAAGAACCTTCCATAAGCTGTTTGCTTGCTGGCTTTATTACCTTCATAATTTCTACTTGATTTAGTAAGTAGATTAATTCATTCTCTCCCACTTGTTCCTGTACCTCCTTTTTGTGATATATTTTTTTTACCTCGCTTTTGTTCATCTGGGTTTTTTTTGGGGTGTGTATTATTATTATTATTGTATTAATTTAATTATTATAGAAGCATATATTTATTAATTTAAATTAGCAGTTGTTTAAGGATAGAAAGTGTTAAGTAGATACTGAACTTTTGGATTTTGAATGCTCTCATAATAAGCTGGTATAAGTATCCAGTTTGAACTCTCATATGATTCCATAATGCTGTGTCAGATGTTGTTACTGGTTGAAATAGTTGAAGTGAAGCTAAGCCCTGACATCCAATCTCTGTATGTAATAATGAACTTGTTGGCAATTGTAAATCGTCAATACCATCTGAATGTCTATGCACCAGGTTTAAAATTGATCTGCTTAATGCTCGGGATTTCATTCATTTTTCTTCATTGTCTTGTTGTGTCATTATATGCCACACATGCTGAGTGATCACAACAGGCATGATCAGTCGGTTTACTCTTGTGGAGCTACTAAGAAGAAGTTCAAAGAATCAATGGATCTATCTAAGAGTCCTCACTAACAACTATATATCACATAGGGCTGGGGAAGGGGGAGGCTGCATGGTCTCAAGGCATGGTCTCTACCTCTAGTGCTAGAGGTCCTGGGCTCAATCCCCAGTAAGAGCTGGGATTTTTTCACAAGGACTTGGACTTCTAGTAATTCTCCCTTGTCTCTGGGTATGAAGATCGGACCCCCGTGTGCATTGCTGTGCACACACAAAAATTAATCCCTTGGCAGTTGGAAATCAAAAAGAGTAACATAACGGCACTGCCCGGGCAAAAATTTGGAGTTGAAAATCTACTCACGGTATTTCAGGATTCTTGCCGATGCTACAGAGCCTGTGCACTGTGCGGAGCTTCTTCGGAGCCTGACTTGAATTAGAAGAAGAACGGAGCACTTATGGATTACTACCCGTGTGCCATGGTGTTGAGCCGTTGTTCAAACCTCAAACCTCAAACTTCACAAAGGACTCATGTTGATCCATTGTTCAAAACTTCAAACCTCAAACTTCACAAAGGACTCATGTTGATCCGTTGTTCAAAACTTCAAACCTCAAACTTCACATAGGACTCATGTTGATCCGTTGTTCAAAACTTCAAACCTTAAACCTCAAACTTCACATAGGACTCATGTTGATCCGTTGTTCAAAACTTCAAACCTCAAACCTCAAACTTCACATAGGACTCATGTTGATCCGTTATTCAAAACTTCAAACCTCAAACTTCATATAGGGCTCAGTCTATTCCTCCATTCCGTTCTGCCCTGTACAATCACTTCAATATGAACCAAATCTAGACAAGCACCCTTGGCTTCTATCATCAATGATAAGGGGGGGGGGGGCTCCTTGCTTCTTCAGTTCCTTTGTTTCCCTAATAGATAGAAAGAGTTAGCAGAGCACAAGGCCAGCCGCGTTGTAAATTGTATGCTAAAGTTGTCTCTCACAACAGCAATTGATAAAGAAAACTGGACATGGCTCTCCTGAAAGTGGCCTGCTGTCCAGTGTAGTTGTGAACCAGCCCCGAGTAAAACAGCAAGGGCAGCAACCATCACAAGTGGCAACCACCTCATCTGTAATGGCACAAGCTGCCCCCGAGAGGGGACCATCTGAGGTAAGTTTAACATGTATTTTGTATAAAAACAGGACTATATTTTTCTAGAAAGAAAAAAGGTATCACACCTCACCACAGAGTGAACAAGGTGCTTGCACTCATGACAAAGTGTCTATTACAGTAACACCAAAAAAGGTTCGTGTCTGGGGAAAAAAACAACAACAACAAAGTGCCAGTATTTATACCACTGTGTACAGCCAGAAAAAAATTCATGTACAAACATGATTTAATCTTGGGGGGCCACAGAAGCACAGTGGCTAGACACTTCCCTGCTGGCTTGACAGTCTTTGGGGAGTTCAGATTCACACCGGGCGGGTTTTTAAAATGTCATGACCTTGTTCTTTTAGTCGACCAAACCTACATTGAAAGTAAAGGAGGCTGCTATGATACTCACCACATTGAGCTCTGATATATTGGTCTGTAAGAATATCAGTCCAGCATCCTATTCCCAATGGGTCACTGGTTTGAATAAAGTTCCCTTACTTTACTTTTTAAATTATGCTGACAAAAATGTAACCCAAAAAAGCATGATGTGTGTGTGTGTGAATCGCTCGCTCTATCTGCTGAATTTCAAAGAATTCAATATATGTGCTTCATTATATATTTTCACTTTAAACTGGACATTTTTCAAACCACCCTGGACATTTTTCAAACCACTCTGCACATTTTTCAAACCAAAGTGGATAATTTTCAAACCACCATGAACATTTTTCAAACCAAAGTGGATAATTTTCAAACCACCCTGAACATTTTTCAAACCAAAGTGGATAATTTTTAAACCACTTAAGATGTTTTTCACACTATACTTGACAATTTAAAAACAAACTAGGACATTTTTTAAATCGAATAAGATAATTTTCAGGCACCTCGGATCTTTTTTCAAACCAATCTGGACGATTTTTAAATCAAATAGGATGCCTTTTAAAGAAGAATGGAGATGGTTTATTTTTAACAGTTAACACTTCTTAACTGTGTAACCTCTGTGATAATGAACCTGATGAGATACAGTGAAATTTGTCATGCAGAAAATTGTGTAATGTGTTGTTTGTGAAGGTAAAGAAGACAAATGTGTGGACAACCACTTGTATCACCAGTTATAAGACAGAAGATGGGAGTATGTTGGGCACATCAAAAGGAGAAATGGATAACGAATCACTAGACAGGCACTGAAATGGGAAACAGATTGAGGAACTGACGGGGGGGGGGGGGGTGCTATGGTGGTTTGAAGAGAATGATGATGATGGGTACAGTTTCTGGAAAGCAGGACAAATGCCAGCCTCTATGAACATGGATAAGGGACATTGGATGAAAGCACATAGGGCTGGGGAATTGTCTAGAGAAAAAGAGACCATAAGGTGTAGCGTGAAGAGAGCGCCATGTTGATTAATTGATTGATGTCTTCTTCATGTTGAAATTCATAAGTCGAAAACATTGTTTTAACTTTTATCCTTTTTTTTTTCTGTTGTTATTTCATCTTTTGTATTTTTTAATCTGTGTGATTTTAATTTGCTGATCAGATGAAAAGACCAAAATCGGTCTTAAAGAAACAAGGAAAGAGCTCTGACAAAGTGAAGCTGAGAGATGATCTCATTAACCCACTCTGGGCTAAGGATAAAGGTTTAGGGGCTGGCATAACGATACGGGTGAGTCCTTCTGCCACAGACTTTCTGTTACTTTAACCTCTTATGTCCAGGACAGTTTTTGCTGTAGCTTGCTTTATTTGTTTGGTAATTTTAACCCCTTATGTCTTCTTCTTCTTCTTCTTCTTCTTCCCATTACACCCTAATGGAGCATATGTCTTCAAACAACTTTCAGTAAATCATCCAATTTTTGTTCATGGTTGGTCTGAAGGCACTGAAATGGGGAAAAAATGGATTGAGGTAGCAAGGACACCCAAGTGAAATACTACAGTGAATGTTGATAGATCGGCCAGACTGGATTCCATCCACTGTATTAACAAGATTTCACATGATAGATTTCATTAAAGGAATTCTTCTTCTTCTTCTTCTTCTTCTTCTTCTTCTTCGTATTCACCAGCTGTTGACTCTGGCAAAAAGTTCTGGTTGTTCATCCGCTTCTGGACTGCAGTTCTGTTCCAGTACCTGAGTGTTACGTGTGCATGTGTTTTACAGATCTGACTCATTTGTGTGAAGACTGCTGGTTCCTTGCCTCTCAGGCAGATGCACTCCGACTTCAAAGGAAGCTCCCAATTAGTCGACTCTTACGACATGCTTTTAGGTAGGCAGTTGGTCTATTCTTTTTTTTCCCTGCCTCTCAGGCAGATGCACTCTGACTTTAAAGGAAATTCTCAATTAGTCGACTCTTACAACATGCTTTTGGGTAGGCAGTGGGTCTGTTCTTGTTTTCCCTATAACAGGGCCTGAAACCCACAAGGGGGGAATGGGGGAATTGCCTGACAGCCCCATGGGATGTACCAGCAGTGTAAAAGGATGATGATAGTTAGCTGAGTTTTTCAGCTAAAATATGTTATGGGAGTAGATAGAGAAATCCAAACCCAACCTTCCCTAAATTGACTCTTAGGACATGCCTGGTAGGGTGTATTGTTGTTTTAACTCATTCAAACTCAGAAAA